TTCTTTCAGAGCCAAAGCCAACACCTGTCTGATTCCAACACCAACAATCTGGTCAATCACTTCAATCATATCTGCTTGTCATCACTAAATATTACTGCTCCTCTAAAGGTTAGGCCTACGTCTAAAGCTAGTAAGCAACCCTGGATAAATGACAGCATTCGCAGCCTCAAAAGTGAATGCAGGAAAGCAGAGCGCAGATGGAAAAAATCCAGTCTCCAAGTCCATTACCTCAGTCTGAAGGATTTATTAATTAACTACAATAAAATGGTTAAGGATGTGAGAACACACTATTTTTCTGAACTCATTACTACACATAAACACAATCCCAGGTTTCTGTTTAAGACTGTGGATCAGCTGGTAGACCCAACCCCTCCTTGTGCCTCAGCTGGAAGTAATGATGACTGTGAATTGTTTTTATCTTATTTTACCAATAAGGTGGTGTCAATCAGAGCCTCTATTACCCCCGTGGCCTCTTACTCAGAGGCTTACTGAGAGACTCAGTGTGGGGGTTCCGTCTCGGAAGTGTTCTCGCCCAAGCTTATTTCAAGCCCCCTCAGACGGTACCTAGATGAGATATGAGAGAGCTGTGCCCTGATTGAATAGGAATGGATGAGGGGATGAAGGGAGCAGGGATGGGGGATGATGGAATGAGGGATGAAGGGATGATGAGATGAGGGAAGCAGGGATAGGTTCCTCACCAGCAACAACAGAGTTTTAACCAGTTTTATCTCATCGACTTGTTATAAAGTAATAGATTCTGTTGGGCCCCATTTGATCTCTGTCTTCAACAGCTCCCTATCTACTGGTTGTGTCCCTGATTATTTTAAAACGGCTTGCGTGAACCCACTTTTAAAGAAACCTGGTTTAGATCCCTCCCTTCCACATAATTTTAGACCAATTTCAAAACTGCCTTTTATTGCAAAGATTCTAGAAAGAATTGTGTCCAAACAGCTGCTCACTGTGCTGGAAAATAACAAATTATTTGAAAAGTTTCAGTCTGGTTTTAGGAAGTACCACAGCACTGAGACTGCCCTGCTTAAAGTCACCAATGACCTTTTAATGTCTGCTGATGAAGGTATGTGCTCAGTCCTTGTACTCCTGGACCTTAGCGCTGCTTTTGACACCATTGATCACAACATCATGTTAGACAGACTGAGGCACTGGGTGGGGATCTCTGGTACTGCCCTAGAATGGTTTTCATCCTACCTGTCAAATAGGAAGTTTTGCGTGTCTGTAAACAACTATGTCTCTTCATTCTGTCCAGTTAAATATGGTGTGCCTCAGGGGTCGGTCTTAGGACCCATTTTGTTTTCCTTGTATCTGCTTCCCCTTGGACATATTATCCATAAACATGGCATTTCTTTTCATATTTATGCTGATGACACACAAATATACTTGCCCGTCAGATCCACAGACCCTGGAATGCTGAGTTCGCTTAACAACTGCCTTTGTGAAGTTAAAAAATAGATGTCAAATAATTTCCTCCAGCTGAACTCAGACAAAACAGAAATCCTGGTCATCGGGTCTCAGCAGATGGCAAATCAAATACTGCCATCTGCTGGTTCCCTAGTAAATCACATTAAGCCTGTGGCAAAGAACCTTGGTGTTTGGTTTGATAGTAATTTAAATTTCGAGCAGCACACCACAAAGCTTGTTCAATCATGTTTTTATCAACTTAGAAATATAGCTAAAATTAGATCAATGTTAACTTTTAAGGACACCGAGACCATTTTACACGCCTTCATCTCATCACGCCTGGATTATTGCAACAGCCTTTTCACCTGTTTAACCCAAAAATCTATTGATCGACTCCAGACTGTCCAGAACTCAGCTGCCAGGCTTTTAACCAGAACAAAGAAATATGACCACATTACTCCTATTTTAGCTTCATTACACTGGCTCCCAGTATGTTTTAGAATTGACTTTAAAATTCTATTGATCACTTTTAAAGCTCTTCATGGCCTCTCGCCTTGTTATATTTCTGACCTTTTAGTCCCATACGCACCAGCACGTACCTTGAGATCCTCGGGCAGAGGTCTGTTGTCTGTTCCAGAGTCTCGACTGAAAACTAAAGGGGACAGAGCGTTTGCTGTCAGGGCCCCGAGGCTCTGGAACAGCCTGCCCGAGGAAATCAGGTCGGCTGAGTCAGTGAACTCTTTTAAGTCCCTTCTTAAAACATACTTTTATAGGAGAGCTTTTCCCGATCTTATTTGACTTTATTTTATCCCTTTTATTTTATTATATTTTACAAATTTTATATTAAATTTTCATACTCTTATCTTTTTTTTGTATTATTCTTTACACTTGTTAAAGCACTTTGTAACTTGTTTTTGAAAAGTGCTCTACAAATAAGGATTATTATTATTATTATTACTGCTAGTCCTTTTTGAGTTTGTCAGCAGCCTCTGATGGTCTGATAGCTTGGTTGCTAGCTTTATGCTGCTGTTGTGGGTACTTCATGGGCTACACAGGGTCAGTTATCCTGCCACGCAATCCTTCTCCACATCCTCAGCTTCCGAACTCTTTTTGTCTATCGTTGGTCTTGTTCATGTCTGCGATCGGTCATCTGCTGCTAACACCGCCTCTTTTATGTGAACGTGCTCACGGCTGGATTAGGAAACCCCGGGTTGACTTACCGAGTTGATAACCAGCTTCATGGTAGTTCAATGCTGTTGTACTGCAATCCCTGCTGTAGCCAATGGAGAGGCGGAACAGTGCTCATATGTGCACAACACCGAAATTATTCTCCACAATGATTAGTATATTTAATGTTATAATAGGCTATAACTAAGCAAAACTCAGGTTTTGATAAATTTTTGGGACAAACAGGATTCGGGACAACTGCCTGTATTTTGGCACTGTCCTGAATTTTTTGGGATGTCTAGTCACACTAACAGCAACCTGTTCAGTACGTACCTCACTAGCAAGGACCCCGCCACAACAATGTGTGATTTAGAGGTACATGCAAATATGGAATGCATGGATTATGGAGGATGGATTAATGCATATAGAGGGGAAGGGTGATGGTGGAAGAAGGATGTCGTCTGAGAGACTCAGTGTGGGGGTTCCGTCTCGGAAGTGTTCTCGCCCAAGCTTATTTCAAGCCCCCTCAGACGGTACCTAGATGAGACATGAGAGAGCTGTGCCCTGATTGAATAGGAATGGATGAGGGGATGAAGGGAGCAGGGATGGGGGATGATGGAATGAGGGATGAAGGGATGATGAGATGAGGGAAGCAGGGATAGGGGGTGTAGAGTGTAGATCGTTGTCTGACTTGCATCGAGCAATCTGAAACAAGATTTTAGGTTGCAGATTCTTAGGACTCATTATATTTAACTCTGAAAAATAAGTCTTGGTCATAGTGATTGTGGGTAAACAGTGATTATTAGTCAGAGGGTCCAGGTCTACAATAAATGTTTGCGAGCATGTAGGTGAGATTTAACACAGACCAATGGATGAGACGGTCGGGGTAGGTGGACATCTTTTTGCTATATACATTTCCTTTTATCAGCTCAGCAAGAGCCATTGAGTGTATTCTAATACTCCAGATGGGATTTGCCATTTATTTTGCAGTTTACTGTTTGCTGTTGTGCCTTTGTACTTGACTGTATTTAAGGAAATGGAGGCTGCATGTTGCGAGAGAACCGTGATCTTTCTCTCTGTGGCCATGTATAAAGAATTCATTCATTGACATCTTTGGGAAGAATTTTTCCCTGACAGTGCACACCTAGCTAGGTGGCAAATAGAATGCAAGCAACTGAAAATAGAGTCCTGAAACATACAGTATAAACATGGGTAACTAATATCTATAGCTAATATTTGCAAAATCTCTTTGGTTGGTGGGTCAAGACTTTTGGTACAGAGGAAGATTGCTAAAGTCACTTACACATAGCTTACCTTCCTTTATTTTAAGTGGTGATAATAGTTTGACACAGTCCCAGCCCTCTCTGCAAGCTTTGCACTGTAGAATTTACAGACTGTTGTGTTTTCTTCTGGAAGTTTAGGTTTAAGTTTAGGTTGTCAAATTTTATTACTGCAGATTTTACTGGCATATCCTCCAGCTCCCAGACATTCACTTTCTTGGAGTACTGGTGACAGCCATTAACAGTTATAAAATGATCAATAAGTCACATGATTGGTTGCATTTGAAGCAGTAAGTTTTACTTCCAATAAAAGTAAGGATGTTAACAAATAGATCAGACAATGCACAGGCAATTTAGTGATATCCCCGCAGTTGTTGACCGGTCTTGACCGTGACAAGACCGAGTAGAAATGCGATAGATTCTGAGACAAGAACGAGAGCTTCAAAACAGTCTCGAGTACAACAACACTATCTTCATGTTTTGTGTACAAATCTGCCTCTCTTGTGTCCTAGGAGCACCACCTGCCAGCCACTTCCTAGCATTAAATTTCTACATTATCGAAACACATGTTTGCATGCACATAAAATTACACACAAACATCTGCACATACAATTACATGTATGTTCAGCTCTTTAGTGTCTGCCTCTAAAAGCAAAACAAACATACTGGATTACAGCATAATTTTCCACAGCACTTTGTTAGACAAATAAATAAGCCATAGTGGGAGTTGCAGGTATCAACAAATCTTTGATTGTTGATACATTACTTGTTCTTTTGATTTTCATCATCCATTGTCCCTCAGTTCAAGCCTACCAAATAAGAGTTGACTTTGTGATAACCTGTGCAGCAGATACTCGGCCACACTGAACTACTCAATTAAGTTCAACACCGCTGCCCCTCTCTCTTCTCACATTGTTTCATACATACACACAAGCATCCGTGCTTAAACATTAGACACAGTAAGGGAGCAAGGAACAGCCCTGCATCATTCACTGACCGCGCTTCCTTTGCTGGCTGCTCAATTTCTCCGGTTTGGTGGGAGTGGTGAAAACTTGAGTTTGCACACATAGCTCCTCCCATGTTCGCTCTCTCCCTCGCTCTATTTTGTTGGGGTACACCACTCCTGTTCCTGTGGGCCAGTCACTCTTTAGTTCTTCCCCACTCATACACACTCCCTTGCTCTCTCTCTGTCTTCCTTTGTAGCTCCCATATTTCCTGCTCTGTTTCTTCATCACTTATTCAGAGCCATCTCACTCCCACTCCCAAGTAAGATCTACCGACCGGCTCCTCAAGGTAAGAAACAAACACCTCTTTTTCTCACATGCATTTATTTACCTGTTGAAAACCCCCCAACTTAATATCAAAGGCGTAATTGACATAGGTAAAAGTGTTTCATTGGAAGTTTATTTACTGTGTTATATGATTATATCTGATCTGCTGTGTATGCATGTATTAGTGTTCATTTTCTTTGCTTCTCAACCTCATGAGGACAAGTCTCTACAAGCAGAGGCAATACTGCATGTTAAATGAAATGTTGTATAAATGCATGTTGAATTATTTCATTCCCAGCTTCACATGGCTGTCTTTGTGGAGATACTGTGGGTGTCAGGTTGACAGTTTTGAAGCTTAATTTGAAGCCATAATTTTATTTAAACTAAAGAACAAATGGTAATTTGGTAATTGCACAAATGAAAAGTAAGACAGGGTTGTTTCTTTCATTGGGGTGGACAACAGAGAACAGAGTGCTTCAGAGCATATTGCAGATGTGCAATTGCTTGCAGTTTAAAAGTGTAAATGAATAATGAGACAGGCTAGTTCAGTGTCCTATAGAAATTTTCATTCATGGAGAAAAATGACAATCCTGCAAGTAGAAATATTGTTGCTTTTCTCTAATTATACTTTTGTAGAGACAAAACTATTCATACAAAAAAGTACACTAAATTTAGATGTTACAAACTAGACTCATATGCAGAGTAAGTTCAAAATTACAGTAAATAACAAAACAAAATAAAGTAAAACCAAGTTACCTGTCTCTACTTAGCTCATTTGCTTTTTGAGTCTGTCCACATATGCCAGTTTAGAGCTGTAGAGGACTAGGACAGTAGTCCCTTGACACCGTTTAATATACCATAAAAACTTGACAAAGATTAAATACCAAAACTTACATTAAAGGGAGAAATACAATTACCCCTGCTTTAGTCGTAGTAAGGCACACATTGTCCACAAACTTAGTTACAGTCGCTGAGAGTTCTATCTATTTATCCATCAGCTGTCCCCGCTTACCCTCAAGGGTTGTGTTTCTGTGTGCTTTTATATAGTTTTTTCTGTAATAGGTTAGTTATAATAATAGTTATTAGTTTATACTCTTTAAAATGCAGTACATTAGTAATATTGCTAGTTTAGTATTTGTGCTCAGATACGTAGCAACCATTACCCATAAACTAACTTTACTGAGTGTGGAAAAGAACATGTTATATCTTTGTAGGATAGTTGATCATATTTTCATGTTGAGGTTACATAAGTCTAACGGACTGTAAAGAGTAAAAAGCAAAGTGAACCTCTGAGTTATTTGGTTCTCACACAATGCTGGCAGAAACCTTACAGTATCCTATAGAGAGAGACATAGATACATAGATCCTGTGTCTGTTTCTGGATAATAGTTATAAAGAGAAATCTGGAATATCACACACAAAACAGTGAAGTATTAAGCAGACTTAATACCAAATCTGTAAGAGACTGTTAGATGCTTGTTAACATGTCGCCACTGGTTGTAAGCACCTTGCCTAACTGCTTTGGTCTGCTTCTTTCCACATCAGTTTCTGTGGTAATTCTGAACACAAACATTGTCATTGTGGTGTTTTTACAGTCTTCTGACAATGAAGGAGTCAAAATATTTATTTTTGGATTTAAACAGCTTAAAAAGAAATTCAGAGAAATGACAAAAGTAATGAAAAACGGGAGAGATAGAAAGGGAGACGGGGAATGTTGCTGCGGTTTAATCTGTCAACAGTTTGACAGTCTAATAATAACAGCAATGACAAGGCTAAGACAACACTGTGTATAGCTTTAGAATGACACAAGGTTGTAATTACAATGCCTTAACCATTGATGATTAACCTTTGCCATAAACACATGATTTTACGGCTTTAAGTTAAAGCTGCAACATCATGCTGCATCGTCCTTTGCTTAAACTTTAAGCAATGCTATTTTCCTCATTTTACTATTTTAAGAGGAATGTGATAATTTCTTGCCATTGCATAACCTGCCATTACTAAAATAGTTAGTTTTAAATAAAGTTAAAGAACTAATACATAAATAGCATGCAAGGAAAACAGAATAAAAAATCAGAATGAAAAAAGTGTTTAAGGGTGTGTGTGTGTGTGTGTGTCTGTGTGTGTTTTGGGACAAAGAGCTGCGTTTCAAAAGCTGCAGGTTGTGTCAAAGTTTGTGCATCTGAGAAATATCTTTTTTGTAAGTATTTTCTATCAAACCACACATTGTGGATCTGGCAAAAACACTGTTTTCTGTCATTCAGAATGAATTCGAAAATCAAACGGAGGAGTTTCTGGTGTTTATATAAATGATCAAAATCTGACTGATTTTTGTTTCCTGAGGTGAGTATTTTTGGATGACCTGAATGTCTGGCTGCTTCCTCATAGCCATTAGTGAAGTGAAACACAATACAAACCTAAAGATTTTCAATGGCAGGTTTCCCTGTCCTTGGGGTTTGTGCAATACTGAAATATGGCAACAGTTTTATGTTGAATGTTGTAGTTTAGCTATACACCCACACACTCCATGGCCCTTCCTTAAGGCCTGAACAAGTTCTGCCAATTTGTGTAGAGTTTTGAATTAGGTGAATTCGTAATTCATCATTAAAGATATCATGAGAGTATTGAAGTCCAACTGTACACGCAGTTCAAGTCTCTATACACAACACAATTAAAATCTTTGAGGCGAAATATGCAAGACAGTATATTTCCCGAGACATTATTTTCTTGCTGTACTGTTCTTATAGAGCCTATTTTCTCTTTGCTAACAGACATCATAAAAAATTCCTATTTCATATAATTGCTTTTAATATTTGCAGATTAACAGATCAAAGGTATTGTTATGTGATTAAAGTATTTCAGTGTTGTTATCATTGTGCGTGACAAAAGGTAATCATTTAAACAGTATTTTAACTGTAAAGACAGCCAATCATGATATACAGTGTTTTCCCTTCTGATCTTGTTTCCTCCTGTGTGTTTGTTAAACCTGATGGTATTGCTTAGCCCATCACTACCATTAATGCCGCCAACATTTTTCTAGCTTAATGTAAATAAAGTGTGCTATTATTGCTCATCATCACTTTTCAGACCTCTCCACGTGTCATCACTTTGAGAGCTAAAATGCTTTTAGTGAGCCACACATCTTTTTTTTTTTTACCCTATTTCTTGCCAACAGGAAATGGCTTCCAAACAGCAAATGGGCTACAAGTGTCGTGTAGCAGGAGTGCTTCTTCTTCTCCTTGCCAGTATTGCTGCTCTTGTTGCGGTTGCCATCATCCAGGACACCTGGAGGTCTAAAGAGTACACCTCAGAGGTGAACACATACATGCAATGGATGTACACATAAACATGCAGTCAGTATTTGGCTGTAAATGTGTAAAATACAGTTCTCAAAACACAGAGGGACAGAGATAGGTATACAAACCCATACTTCAGCTCCCACATATTCTCAGTTGGGAATGTGAATCCAGACTTTAACCAGATGTCAGGATAAACAGGGCAATTCCAAGATTTATCATATGCTAACCTTTTCCATTACATTTACCTCATGGTCAGAGGTTTTCAGTCAGCTTGGTGATGAATGGAGGTCGTGATGGACCATGTGTGTTTTTTTAAAAGAGTGCTAATGTTCACATCAGCCTAGTTTAATGCAATCTCCATAGTCTGAGATTGTTGTCAGATTAACAACATCATTTAAAATCATGCAACAAAGGTTTTAACCTCAATGTGACCTTCCTAGTTAAATAAAGGTTAAGAAGATTTAGGGCTTTTAGATATTTTATCAATCAAGGTAAGAAGTGCAATCAGACGCAACAAAATAAAATGTGACCCTATAACATGAATTTTTCTTTCTTTTTCTCTTCAGTATGGCATAGTGATAGATTCAGGTTCATCTCGTTCCAATGTGTACCTGTATGAGTGGCCAGGGGAGAAGGAGAATGAAACAGGAGTGGTGACTGAGATAATGAACTGTAAAGTTCCTGGTGAGTCATTGTCTCTACAACTAGAAGAGCACATTACAGCTTTTGTATGTAAAGGTAGTAATAGAAATGGTTGAAAAGATAATAAAATGAAAATGTAGGAGTAGTGTAAATTGAAGTACAGGATGTAATGAAAAGAATATTGAAAGCTATACCTTGCTGCACATTTGGAAATTTGAGACATACTCCATTAACCTTTATCCAACTGACCAAGTTAAAAATGTTAGAAACACAAAAACTTAGACATGTTGCTCAATGATTTCAGTGCTTGTAATTAAGAATATAATTTTAGCTTGGTCTTGTGCCCACAGGTGATGGTATCTCAGAGATGAGAGTTGACCCACAGAAAGATGCTGCATCGTGGAAAGGATTCAAAGACTGCATGGACAACATCACGAAGGCCATTCCTGCTGAAAAACACAAAACCACACCTCTGTTTCTGGGAGCTACTGCTGGAATGAGACTGCTACAGTAATTACAGTGAAAATAATTTAGCTGTCTTGCCATACTTATAATGTATTGGAGAGTGTCAGAAAGGATCAGAGCAATTTAACTCCATTCATGCACCACATTTTTTTTCAAAAGTAAAAACAATAAACTGATTATTAAAACTGAACAGTTCAAAACAGAAAAACAAATATAATAATAAAATAGTAAAGTGGTAAAACAAGGTGATAAAATATTTATATGTGTGTGTTACAGTACATACACACATGCTTTACGACTTTATGCTTTATGTGTCTGTCATAGACTGTATATAAAAAGGTGTCTGTACATGCAGTATATATTGGCATGTACAGACACATAATGTAAGTAAGTAAGCTTTATGTGTGTAGCTCGTTTCACAGACGGGAGTCAAAAGTGCTTTACAACAACATTAACATTCACAAAACAAAAACACAGAAGATAAAATGACCACCTGAGCCAAATGAGGAAATGAGCTACATTTACATAGTTTGTAATAAAGATACATAATAAATACACTATACGTAGCAAAATACATGATGATTATGTGCTACAAAAATGCACAATAAATACATAGTATTTAAGGTGTCTTTAGCTGCCTTTTGAAAGAATCCACAGAATCAGCGGTCTGTAAGGGTGGGTGGCAGAGCATTCCAGAGTTTGGGTGCAACTGCCTCCAAAGCACAATCATCACTGCTCTTAAGGCCAGTGTGTGGAACAGCAAATTTGCTTATTAGACCTAAGAGAGTGAGCTGATGAGTAAGACTATAGCAGTACAGCCATGTATGCAGGAGCCTGACTGTGTAGTTCTCTGTACGTAATAGTGAGGATCTTGAACTGGATCCTACATACGACAGGGAGCCAGTGAAGAGATCTGAGTATAGGGGTAATGTTAGACCGTCTATTTGTCCTAGTGAGTAGCCTTGCAGCATTCTGGATTAGTTGCAGATGATCAAGGGTAATCAAGTGATGACAATAGTGCATTACAGTAGTCTATGCGAGATGAAACAAGCATCTCTAGTTCAGCTGTTGAAACTACAGATCTCAGTTTGCTGATATTTCTTATTTGGAAAAAAACATGGCTGTCAAATCATGCAGATTGATCAAATATAGCGAAATGGCAAAGCAGGAAGGAACCGTTGATGATAGCTAACACAGCAAGGCCAATAACTGGTAAAACTTTCATCTTCCTAATCAAGTCCATCAAATTCTCATCAAAGTCTAGGCTGATAGGTTAGAAAACTTCCAGAGCAGTAGTAGTTAGTGCCAGAAAAAATACTGGATCTACTAGCCATAACCTTATCAACAAAGAAGGTAGGGAACATGTTGCAGTCATCAGTAGAGAAACTTGGTAGTGTGGGGTGCTGGGATTTCTTTGTGAGGAAGAGATTTAGTTTGCAAAGTAAAGTATCCAGGCTTCTTTTACCAGCACATTGAAAGAATCTCTGAGATCTTTGAGGTATAGGCGATGCATTTCTGTCCAACAGCGTCTGTCATCCATAGAAAGTTTTTGCAGATAGCCCTAGTCTTAACCTTTAGAGGAGCCACGTTGGCCAGTGACCTAAAGGAATGCTCATTAAAAGACTACATTAATCGCTCTGCATCATTAGGTAAAGTGACTTCCTGGAGGTAACCTCACAGTGACAATACTTTGTAACTACTCATACGGAGTCACTACGTTTACTTTTTTGTATGGATTAAAAAAATATAGAGATGTTGATTATAGAGCTTTAAAGTAACTGATAGGCTATGTGTTTTGTTACTGTTTCCTCTTGCTTTCAGTCTTTATGCTTAGCTAAGACAACTGGCCAGCTCTAGCTTCATGTGTAGCTTACAGACAAGCATATTGATACCAACTTCATATCGAACCAAGAAAGCATAAAAGTCCATTTTCCAGATTATCAAACTATTGCTGTAATGACACTGGCAACAGAAGTGGTCAGTAGCAATGACAATGGAATCAGTAAGTAATTCTGTTCCTTTTTCTGTTTTGCTACAAGTAAGAAGGATGAACGGAGGTCCAATGAAATCCTGGCGAATCTCACTGACTACTTGAGTTCTTTGCCTTTCACCTTCCAAAATGCTTCCATCATTTCTGGTCAAGAAGAAGGGCTGTATGGGTGGATCACAGCCAACTACCTCATGGGAAACTTCCTTGAGGTAAGACACTGTCATCATTCTATCTGGTCTGTGTAAGTCAAAGTGTAAGTATCCCTTTAAATGTGGAAATAATAAATAAAATAATTAAAAGGAATTCTGCTTTGCGAATATGGCCATTGCATGGTTCATCATATACTAACATTTCGAATTATGTTTGCAGAAAAACCTATGGAACACTTATGTACGTCCAGAAGGGGCAAAGACTGTCGGGTCCATGGACCTTGGTGGAGCATCAACACAGATTGCCTTTGCAGTCCAGGATGATCTCAGGGGGGCTGACTACATGCATGTCAAACTGTATGGTTACCCTTACAATGTCTACACACACAGTTTCCTCTGCTATGGCAAAAATGAGGCTGAGAAGAGGATTCTCGACAAAGTAGTCCAGGTACACAGCTTTTCTTTTCATCGTATGTGTGTTTGTGTACAGAGGAAGCAGTGAAGGTCATATCCCAGGTACCATGAAGGTGGTGGTTCTTTTCTGAGCTTGCTCTCTGTATAGTATGTGTTTCTATGTTCGATCTTTAAGTGCTTGTGTGTGTGGTGCACGTTGCGGGCCAGAATCCATTAATGTCCAGTTAAGAATTGATTAGTGAACGCTGCTGTCCCTGAGTTGCTAACAGGCAAAGGGAGACCAGTCAAGAATGCATTATGTCATTAAGATTATTGATTGGACCGTGAATGTCGTCAAGCTAGTCTGTGAGAAATGCATTATTTCTGTCAGCTTATAGCTTAATTCTTGAAACTAATAGTAGTATGCTATGCTGTGAGTATATATCATGGGTACAAATTTGCAGCAGGGGCCTGGTATAAAATGTTAACTTTAAAGTTTGTATTTACATTAGGCTCTGTACATGGGAATGTTTATTTCAATTAAGAGTCATGTTTACAGACACACACATATATATATATATATATATATATATATATATATATATATATATATATATATATATACATGTGTGTGTGTGTGTGTAAACATGACTTATTTAATTAAAATTAAATATATATATATATATATATATATATATATAGAGAGAGAGAGATGGTGTTTGTATCTGGCTAATACTTGCCAACACCACCTTATCTTTTTGTTTTTATTTCTTCCTCATTCCTCATCCCCCATTCCTTCTTTCCACATTTTCTTCCTCCTCCTCCTAACATTCTAGGAATCTTCTGACCCAGCCAATGTTTTTAACCCCTGCTACCCTGACGGTTACAACACTACCATGAATGCCTCGTCCATTTATGATACAGAGTGCACACAGAAGCCAAAAAGATACAACCCAAATCAAGAATTCACAATAGTGGGAGCCGCTGACTCAGACAAGTGCAGGAGCATTGTGAGGTCCATATTTGATTTCAAGACTTGCTCCTCATCCCAGTGCTCCTTCAATGGGGTCGAGCAGCCACCCGTCACTGGAGATTTTATGGTAAAGCAGAATGTAAACAGAACACATGCAAAGAGATGAAGATGAAAACAACTTACTATATGCTTCTACTGTTCCTGCCAGGCATATGCAGGATTTTTCTTCATCGCTAAGGCATTGGAGCTGAATGGCAAGTCAGATCTTGATAAATTCAACACCACAGTTAAGAAATTCTGCCACACAAATTGGACAGTGGTAAGTTCTTCCAATTGATATACAGCTATAGTTATAATGGGAGGTGAAAAGGTGGAACAGGAGGGTGGAGAACATGAGAAGAAAAGAAAGATAATATAGGATAAAGAAATGTAGAATGATGGGATGGGCAAAAATGTAGCTCTGAGATCACTGCCAGAGTTATGCCAGGCTATGTGACAACATTTTCCTCCTGTGTGATTTAGGGTTGGTACTCCATGTCAAAACTGCATTTAAAAAGAAACTATATCCATGAAACTTACACATACAGATAATCTTTGTTATATGGTTATTGTTTTACAATGATCAGCTAAGTTATTTGGAGATTTTAAATAAGAAGAAACAACAATAAGAAATAATAAGAAAATGTTTACTAGTGCTTGCCATGTAAGAGTGGATAGGTCTGTATTGCAGGGGGGCTTTAGACAAAAGCCTGTGTGAACTGTAAATTGAAATCAGTCTTGATTCCACACATTGTTTTGTCTCCGTCTTGTCCTGGTCTTGAAGTCTTTCGCCTTCATCTTGACAACAACATTGATGTTTTGTTAGCAGTATTCAGTTTCAGTTATTTATATCATTCTTTCTAATCACAGGCTACACACTGACCTTTGTTTCTCTTCCTTTCAGCTGAGGAAAGAAAAGAAAATGATCTCCGAGAAACACCTTAGGACTTACTGCTATGGAGCTCACTACGTCTTTACTTTGCTGGCAGATGGATACAAGTTTGACAGAGAGACCTGGAAAAACATTAACTTCGAAAGAGAGGTGGGTTGAACAAAAAACTACATAATTTTCACAAAGACAAAGACACTTCTTGCTCCCACTGCCTTCTGTTGTCCCTAACACAGCTATGAAGCCTGTGTTTATATATTCTCGGGAGAAATAATATATATAAAGGAGTAAATGAATAATACTACATCTATGGCAATTTGATGAGAGTTGCTGTGCTTCAGCTGGCAACAGCCCCTCATGTTCAGACAAAGGGATTTAACAGGGTTTAACACACAAAAGTGTGTATGAGGCCACCCATAGAGACCCACTAAAGATGGATGGCAGACATACCAGTCATCTGCAATCAAAAGGTTGAGGCCAGAGTGAAAGGCAGGCAATGTATTGCTCCAGGACGCCCTGAGGACATGGGGCGTCTTTCACAATGGAACTCCCTCAAAAGAAGGGGATTCCTGGTCTGTGACACTCTGTGACAGTCTATTAGTCATGAGTCATAAAGAAAGATAGTAGCTGTTAAAAAGTTGTACATTACAGCTGCAGATTCCTAATTGCATGGTGGTTACCCTTTAGATTTGATCACAAGAACGTTCCTAAACAGCTGGCGATGCTCCCAATTTCCGATCCAATCAACAAGAGAGTTACTGTGCTGTTTGGTGCCTTTGGGGTGTGTGGGAGTCTGGTGGTTCGTAGGTCCTTTTGGAGGAAGTTACAAAATAGATACACTTGTACTCTTTACAGGGATGTTCTTTGGGTGTTATGACTCATCTTTTGTCCTAGGGCTTCATAACAGGATATTCTCAACTTCTCTAGACATGCAAAGTGACTGTGAAAACATCCTAAATATTTTCCAGTGAGAACTTGGGAATTCTCTTCTCTTCTCTTCAGGTAAAGAAAACCAGCATAGGTTGGAGTTTGGGCTACATGCTGAGTATGTCCAACATGATCCCGTCTGAAGTGAAAGAAACACCGCCCATGACAAACCCTGTTTTTGCTGGACTTATCTTTCTATTTTCAGCACTAACCATTGTAACTGTTGTCTTAGTTTTCATCATCCTTATTCGCACTTGCTATTGAGAGTGCAACTTACAAAGGGAATGATCTGCCATTGTAAACCTTGAGGGCTGCTGTAACCATGTTAAGTAGCTGGAGAGCACTTCGGTAGCATGTATCAAGACACTTGTACTGAAAGTTACTAATGAAAATGTTTTCTTTTTTCAGCCTGAGCTATTTACTGCCCTCTGTTTCACTTATTAGAGTTTTTGAAAACTTCAAAATGCTTCAAAATGAAAACCTCTCACTGTGTATCCTGCTAGTGTGTTTGAGTCTTTGAGCTAGCATGAGATGCGAGACTGGTTTTATTGCGACTGTAAAAACTCTTCAAAACGTATTAAAACATTTTTTTTTATTTATTTTGTACCTCAGGGAAACTTGCATAGATTTAAGTAATAGGATCTTTGAACATACAAGCTCCTATTGTTTTGCTGGCAAAAGGGGTTACAAGAGTTATAGCTTGATAGTGTACAAATGATGAAGGAGCACCCACTGTGTAATCTTAAAATGACCACTTGCGTGCTCACATACACACATGGACTCTCAGGCAAAAGCATGAGCTATTCATTTACAGATTGATTGTTTTTTCTCCCACTGTATTATACATGTAATTGTACTGAATGGATCTGCTTGACACACAAAATGACAACACTTTGCCACAGATTTATTGTAGCGTTTGATATTGTGTATGAACTCACTGAAAACCAGACGTACATAACAAAACTCCACATCATAGACATAAGGAAGCCCCTGCCTTACTTCAGGCACATTCACAATGAGCCAAGGGTGTAGTTAAAATGTCTTTATTAATTAAAGATTAAAAATAATAATTAAAAAATCACAAAAGGGGAACGGCAACTTGTTTCGAACCATACTGGTTCTTCCTCACAGCGTGGCTGGAAAGAGGAGTCAACTGCAGTGGAAAGTCGGGATTGCTATTCACGATCAGTGGTCAGTTGCCATTATTACTTTCAAATACCTCTTAGTGCACCCAATGCAAAAACCTCCATGTACTAAGTGGCATTTCAAAGAGAGAGAAATTGTTTAGTTAAATAAACGTTGTCTTTTCCTATTAAATATGTCATGTTTATATACTAACCTTGTGTTGTTTCAGCCCTTGGAAGGCTTTCACTCTGTAGAGTGAAATCTTAGATTATTGTTGAGAAATATTAGATATGTATAATTGGTTAAATAGGAGATAAGTCAGTGGGGTAGTTTCAGAGAACCAGAGAACTGAATATAGTGATGAAGTCTTGTCAAGACTGACCGTTTTCAGTGTAATCTATACGCAGTGTTGGTTACAGTATATAATGAAATATGTCTGGTTGTCACAATCAAAGGCTAGCTTACCATTCAATCAGCAGAGAATAATTTATAGATATAAATAGTTAATGACAACTTGTTCATTAGATATATATTGGTTCTCAGCTAACATCTGAACTGTTTTTAACCATTACCAACACCAAGTCTAAATGGAAAAGGCATGGTTAAAAGGGGCAATGAATCAGACTGTCTGTACATCCAAGTACATTTAAAAGATAGGGGACTGACAAATATTAAAAAACTGCTCTTGTCATGGCATTATTGACTGAGTGAGTTCTGAGATGAATTATAAAACACTCTATAGCAAGAGAAAGGGATTTCTTCACAGGGATATCCAACATAGTTTCTGACTGAAAACAGCATGAAAAAAACGTATGTGTGTGTGTGTGTGTGTGTGTATGTATTTGGGTCTATACATTCTGTATACATGGTACTCTACTTGGGTAGCTTTTTCAGTAATATTGTCTTTGCACTGGAGAGAATTATGCATGGTTCTCATGTAATGCACTGACTGTATTAGCATTGTTTTGATAATGATACCGTCTCTCATCAGTATATAATAAACATATCTACTAACTTTTTGTGACTGTTTTATGAAATCTAAGCTACTGTGTTCTATCATTACATACCTTTGATGAAAGGACCTGGGCTCAGCATGTTATTTCATTTAATTCTAAACACTTCACTATCATTTGTAGCTCTTTTGTCAAATCAAAGTAATTAATTATTAATTAATTAACTGGGTAGATATTAAACTACAGCCAAACATTGTTAAAATCTAAATGTCACTGTTTCATCTGCATCAGCTGAGCCACTGTAATATCCCTGGTGACTTGTTAAAACACACACACACACACACACACACACACACACCTCTTCTCGGAATAACCTTTCATCCCCTATCTCATACTGTGTACTACAGTGCACTCTAGTGGTACTGCGTTGTACCCGCAGAATACACAAGATGAGTATTGACTGTTTGAAACATTTTTTTAATTTTATTGAAAGATTTGTCTAAAAAGAAAACAAAAAGAAAAAGAGACATTTGAAACTACAGCAATATCCACTGGTTCTACAGACACTCTCAGAATCACAATTTGAAAGACATGGGAGGCATGTGACCAAGCAAATAAAAAAATAGCATCATCAAAGTTATTTCTGTTGCATCTTCTTTTACACACCTGTACAAAAAAGATTTCATAAATATTACTTTTGTTCTCGCTTTTTCTACCTTCTCTCTTCTTTCAATAATTTATTTTCCCATAGAGGTTAGTATCTGCTTGATTTTGGTTGAACGATGCTTTTCCTATGTGTCTATCCGCTCCTCTGTCTCCATTAGCGTCCTTTCGTTGGTGGAGGGTCAGGTAGGTGTGGCTTCGAGGCTGTGACAGAGCCAATGCCAGCCAGGTAAAATCCATAAAGTGTTTAATTTATTGTTTTTTGTTCTCAACTGATGCCCTCTTACTCAGTACAAATAATGCAGATTCTTTTTAACTAAGATCTGATTTTAACTAAGAAGAGAGTAATCTTTATTTGTTGTGTTTTCTAAGGCTGCCACCAGGAACATGTCTCTTCTTTCATGTAAAAGACTTGTAGGGATACAGTCAAGTCATGGACAACAATTAACTGTCTTTATCTTGGCTTAAAATGGCCAATTGCTGTCAATCTCTTACACCTCTTCCGCTATCACCAAACCAATACAACCTAAATCGCCAACAAACAAAAGTGTTTAGCAGCTCACACATCATAATCAATTCTCAAACGACACAAACAAAGGCAACACAAAAAAAGAAAAAGGAAAACACAAAAAAACTCTCCTGGTCTTTTTAGAATACAGATAAGATGATTTTGTTGAACAGAAATGCCCTTTCCTCTAATAGAGTTCATCACCATGCTCACATTTTAAATGGCTTGTGTTTGGCAAGATAGCGGCGTAAAACAGATTGTTGTATGGACTGAGACTATGCATTGTAAAATGATTTAACAGCATCTCAGTGTCTGCATGTAGAATTAAGGATTGGTCAATGCAGCCTGAGGAGGGCTTAAAGAGTTCACACCAATATTCTGCAGGATATAATGCATTTCTAGCCTTTTTACCACCAAGTATAATAAGTATAATATACCAACTTATCCAAATAATTGACCCACCTCCTCCACTTTCTCCATACAAAGTGTCTGGTTTCTCGACTGATGTTACAGCGCAAATTCACTTGACAAACAAAACATATCAGAGCGAACTCTTCTGGTTGAGGCAGTTGTGTTTAAGATCTACTGCATGTTCTCAGTCACTGATAAAATCATCTCACACTCCAAAAGTATGACAAGCAAGAAAACTCTAGAAATACTGAAAAAGCAACAAGAAGAAGAGCTCTTCACTACCTAATTTCTTCATCTTTGGTATAAAATATGCTCGTTTAGGCTGCTTTTGTTCAACAGATCAGAAAGACTCAACAAACTGTCAACAGTTTTCCTAAAACTATTGCTTTTTGCACATTTAAAAATCCTAGCGTTTTTTTCCTACTTTTTGTGAAAGCCAGAAGTGTTCCTTTTTTTTTACTTTTTGCGGTGAGACAAGCAAAGCAGGCAAAGCAAAAATTTTTGAAGGTAAAAAGACTGCAATCAACAGCCAAAAATAAAATAAAATAAAATAAAATAAAATAAAATAAAATAAATAAAATAAAATAAAATAAAATAAAATAAAATAAAATACAAATGTGTATGATGGAGAAAAAGAACTTTTATCCCATGATTAAACTGCATTTTCCAGGAAGCAGTGGGTTGACCCTTCCCGCAAGTCCCATAAAAGATTTTTTTTCTTACCAACCAACATCAGCTGCACTGCACCACATAATTTAAAATCATCTTCATACAAATACAACCTTATTTTTTTAAATCCTGTACAGATAGCTTTGTAGATTTTATCGCTAAGACTCTCAGACATCTCCAAGAACCTCTCAAATCATTCAACAACTCTGTTCTTTCTTTTTTTTAATAATTCAACACTATGGACATTTTTTTTCAAAATTTGAAAATTAAGGCAATAAAGATTTACGAAAACATTGATATTCTAGAAAACTACTCAAATAATAAAAAGAATGAAAATAATGTAGCTTAATATGAAAGGAAGACAATATGTTTTTTTCTAGATTTTGTTTCCTTCCTTTTTTTAATAAAAAAGTCTGAAAATCTACCTGCACATTCAAATGTTCTTTTTTTCTGTACAGCTTGTTGGTTGAGTTCAGATTTCAGTCTGTCTTCTCTTTTTCCTCTGGAGGCAAAGTTCAGTCTCACAGTGAGAAATGATAAACTCAAAGTTGCACACTGCATTTGATTTCATTGTCCTCAAGTTCAGCAAACCACCATTTCTTTTTCCCACTGTCTTTTTCTTGGTTCAACCAGGTAAGAAATATAATTGATTTTTTTTTCTTCATTTTGTCATTTATTTGGTGCCTGTGCACAGTGGAAGCATTCTCCCCTCAATGTTGCCCATGTCACCTCTTTTTTTTTTTTGTCCCTGTGTTTGATTTTCTTTGTATCCAGCGCCTCAATGCAGTCCTCCTAAAGGCAATGCAGCAGTGATTCCCTCCAATCTTGTTATCTAAAGGAGACAGAAAAACAAGTCAGTGAAAAAATGGTAACTGGGGAAACTGTGAACAATGATACTGTTTCTAAAGCAGGAACAACATTCTTTGTCCAACCGCTGTGTGTAAAGGAAACCTGCAGGAAACCACCAGCAGGTTATCTAGGAGGCAGAAAGACAAGACAAATGTTTTACAAGCAAATGTTGACATAATTCTGTGACCACAACGACACAACAATTGGCTTAACATTTTGTCTCTGCAACAACCACACACTAGTCTCCTGTAGCTGATTATATACACACACTATTCAGTGTGATTTATTTATCTTGTGAATTACAATGTTAGCAAACACTATTGTAGTACATCTCAAGATTTTAGGTAGGAGACAGTTGAATGCATTCTTTCAACAATGTTATTTTCAACCCCCTTTTCTGTCTAGTCTTTTCCATGCACATGCACTAAATAAGACATCTTTAAATGACTAGTTTGACATTTTGACTAGTTTGACATTTTCTTTTTATTGCAGAGAGTTTGATGAGATGATCGATACCACTCTCATGTCTGTACGGTAACTTTGAAGCTACAGCCAGCAGCCTTTCAGCTAAGCTTAGCATCAAGACTGGAAGCCAAAGGAGACTGCCTGTCTCTCCCAAAAGCTCACACCACACCATATCTTGTTTATCATAAAAAAAAATAACAAAAAATAACAATTTGTGGTTTTATGGGGAGGGAATCTGAGACATTTATGAAATTGTGATGCATGTAAATGCAAGCATCAAATGACAAGTCTCTATGAATAAATCTTTAAACTAATTTCCAGTATATATTTTTTTCTAAAACTGAAAAAAAGTCTATTGAAATTGTGTTTTAGATAAAAGAGATGCTGTGTACTTTTCTTAATTGTACTCCTACCCCTTTAATTCTTACAACACTCACTTAGACTGCTGGTAAGAGTAGGCTGTGGCATGATCTCCTGTATTCTCCACTGATATAGGCTGCTGCCCACTGGGGTCCTGTGAGGAGGGGGCGGCTGTCTGTGGGGAGGGGTCTGTCACCACGCCCTGAAAACCAGAATCACAGTTACAGAAACAAGTCAGTCTGACACCGAGGTCATAAACAATATCAAACAATATTTTTGTTTTCATTTCACGACAGCATGATCATTATAAACAGCTTAATTTACTAACATGTACAGGCACAATATGAGACAATTATGTGTAAATTAAAGGGTATTTTGCTTGCTTCTAGCAAGGAGGTGCGAGAAGCTAAACAACTGTACTCAGAGAGACTAAAGAACCAGTTCTCTGCAAACAATGCCAGTTCTGTCTGGAGGGGGTTCAGACAGATCACAAACTTTAAACCCGAAGTCCCCCACTCCATAAACGATTCTCGCCTGGCAAATGAGCTGAACCAGTTCTACTGGCGCTTTGAGAGTCAATCGGACACCATCACCTGTGACTCCCCCGCTCAGCTTCAGCCTCAGTCCACCACTTCTTCGCCCCCCCTCCTCAGAGCTGGCCAGCTCCAGCCCCTCCCCTCCTCTCTCCATCACAGAGAGGGAAGTCAATGGCCTTTTCAGGAGGCAGAAACCCCGCAAAGCAGCTGGGCCGGTCTCTGTCTCCCCATCCACCCTGAAGCACTATGCTGATCAGCTGTCTCCGGTGTTCACAGACATTTTTAACATGTCACTGGAGACATGCCATGTGCCAGCCTGCTTCAAAGAAACCAAGGACCACAGGACTAAACGACTACAGACCCGTCGCCCTGACCTCTGTGGTTATGAAGTCCTTTGAACGCCTTGTGTTGTCCCACCTAAAATCCATTACAGAGCCACTCCTGGACCCCCTGCAGTAAACATGGCCCTTCATTACATCCTCCAGCACCTGGACTCCCCAGGAACCCACGCCAGGATCCTGTTTGTGGATTTCAGCTCTGCTTTTAACACCGTCATCCCGGCCCTGCTGCAGGACAAGCTCTCCCAGCTGAACGTGCCTGACTCCACCTGCAGGTGGATCACAGACTTCCTGACGGACAGGAAGCAGCATGTGAAGCTGGGAAAATATGTCTCTGATTTCAGGACCCTCAGCACCGGATCCCCTCAAGGCTGTGTCCTTTCCCCCGTTCTCTTCTCCCTGTACACCAACAGCTGCACCTCCAGTCACCAGTCTGTCAAGCACCTGAAGTTTGCAGACAACACCACCCTCATTGGGCTCATCTCAGGTGGGGACGAGTCCGCCTACAGGTGGGAGATCAACCATCTGGTGACCTGATGCAGCCAGAACAGTCTGGAGCTCAACGCTCAGAAGACAGTGGAGATGGTCGTGGACTTCAGGAAGAGCCCAGCCCCACCCTCCCCCACCATCCTGTGTGAATCCCCAGTCACCACTATGGACTCCTTCCGCTTCCTGGGCACCATCATCTCCCAGGACCTCAAGTGGGAACTGAACATCACCTCTATCATCAAAAAGGCCCAGCAGAGGATGTACTTCCTGTAGCAGCTGAAGAAGTTCAGCCTGCCAAAGACAATGATGTTGCACTTCTACACCGCCATCATTGAGTCCATACTCACCTCCTCCATCACCATCTGGTATGCTGCTGCCACTGCCAGGCACAAGGGCAGGCTGCGTATCATTCGCTCTGCAGAGAAGGTGATTGGCTGCAATCTTCCTTCTCTTCTGGACCTGGACTCCTCGAGGACTCTGAGGCGAGCAGGAAAGATTGCAGCTGACTCCTCCCACCCCGGACACAAACTGTTTCAGACTCTCCCCTCCATGATCCATCAGGACCAAAACCTCTCGCCACAAAAACAGCTTCTTCCCGTCTGCAACTAGCCTCATTAACAAGGCCTGGGTCCCCCACTGACACTCCCCCTTGCAAATGATACAAATGTCTCTGCACATGTAAATACTGTTTCATCTCGTGTCGGGCACAGACCTGTCATGTTGCACATATTTGTTGTTGATTGTTGATCTTTGTTGTTGTATATTTTTATGTTGTCAGTTTATATATTTATATGTACACAATATTCTCTTCCGTTGCCACTTCTGCACGGCACAGACCCAGAATAATGCACATGTATATATCTGCAACGTTGTTCTTCTATTCCATAGTTAAGCCCATAGGCTGCTGTATGAAGATGCTATGAGGAGTAACCAGTGGCCTTACTTCCACTGTGATGGCAGAGGCAGGCACTGCAGTGTACTGGGGAATGTAGGTTCCTTGCATAGGAGCAGCGGCTGCAGCAGGCATGTACTGCAGAGAGAAGGAGAGTCACAGACAGTATGATAATACAGGCACAAACAATAGGTAACTCTAGACTCTAAAGCACTATCTGGGCTCGCTGCTGGGACATGTGTGTTTATGACATTTCACAATACATTACATAACAGTTTGGCCTGCCCCAGGGTCATTGCAAATTTCTGACGTGTTGCAAACAGAAAACGGCCGTTTCCATGTGCCTCTATGTGGTTTCGGCTGTGACATCATTTCAATTACAGCTGATCTCGGAATGCTGACTAATTATATGAAATGTCTGCATGCACAGCAAGATGGTTAGCAGGAGATAAAAGCTGAGACTCACAGTGCCTGTGGTGCCCAGAGACAGGTGGTTCATCTGCTGGGTGAGAGGGGCCATCACACTGGAAGGGTGAAGAGACAAACTGGGCTCTATGGACGCGGCTGGGGTGATCACAGCACCCTGAGGCAGGAAAGGAAGTACACATGATTGTCCAGGTTAAAGACATTATATGTACAAGGTGAACAAACTGTCATTAAGCATTTTATGGAAAGCAACCAATGAGATCAATGAAACAACCAAAATAAACCCCACAGTTTATGAAGTTCAGCTAAACTAAAACATTTCAACAATCACAGGAGGTGGTACATGAAGGATGGCGGAGGAGAGAAGATTGAAGTAAGGTAATGTGGAGATGAGAAGCTAGGAAGGAGAAAAAAAGGGAAGAGCAGAAATAAAGAGAGAGAGAGTGCGAGAGGCAATGACTTTAAGCTAAAAACAAACTAAAACTAAACCTCAAACTAAGCTATTGTAAGGAAAATTAGATTTGTGGGTAAAGAGCGAGCTCAGGGAGGGATAAAGAAGAGGGATCTGAAGGGGATGGACTTTTTAGAGAAGTAGTTTTGGGAAATACCCTTATTTGCTTTCTTGCCAAGAGTTAGATGAAAAGATCGATACCACTTTTTTTATGTGAGAATAGTTTTAATCTTCTCATCTTACTTTCAGCAGAAAAGCAAATACGTGCATGTCCAAATGTCACTTGATGTGTTTACTGCAGCGGAAAAAATGATGTTTTTTATGCTATGCAGCGAAATAAGACCTCTTTAAGACATGCAGCTAGATACGTTAGTAGAAGAAAAACTTCCAATCCAGTTAAGTTTTTTTACTGCAAATGGTTTGACTTTGTACGCAGCCAGTCAGCCGGCTTGCCTGGCAGGCTTGACAGAACATGCTTCTGAATGGAGCAGAAAGGCTTTTACTGTAAATCTCTTCAAGGTGAAGGGCTTTGATGCCTCCTAACACCTTGATGTGCTGAGCTCTACTTTTCCCGTACAGCTCTGCTACAGACTCAACAGCTTTGTATAGATTTAATAGGAGACTCCTCACATAACCCTGCAGAGGTAAACACTGTACATTTGTGATAGCTATTTAACTACACTTCCCATGAGCACAGACAGTATCGGTGGATATGTGTCAGTATCGCTCCAGAGAGCAGTCAGCACTTGTGTAGCTGCATGTTGAGACGGGATGTTAGAAGAACATAGGTATTTAATTTAGGTATTTTAGGCACCATCCCAGCTGTAAGGCAGCCATCTCAACGTATCTGTAGGGTTTCAAAGGGAGGCTTGCAACAACACAATCGCACATGGATAAACACACACACACACACACACAGTAAAGTACTAGCTGCATGAACCGTTCCTCTCGAAGGCACATACAGTCTGTCAGAGTTGTTCACAGTTACAAAGCTGTAAGTGAAGATCCTTATGTCTGCAAGCTTCACAGGGAGGCACACACACATAAACACACACACACACACACACACACACACACACACACACACAAACACACACACACAATACACACACACAGACAGCACAGACAGGGATTGTGAGAGCTGTTAACAGTGGTGAGTGCTCCTCCGCCTGACTGCTGTCTTCATAGGGAGATCTGTTTGAAGAATATAGCGGCCCGGCTATCAGAAATGCTCTGTCAACACTATCCTCAGCGTCACAAGTGAGTAAGTGGCACATACAAACACATGCCTAGACACGGCATATACACACACAGAAACATCCACACACACAGATGCATCAACAGATCTGTCCACAATCCCGCACAAAGCCTTGGCTCCGGCAGGTAGATTCTGCAGCCAGAATCCAGCTAATACCCAAGCTTTTCATCCATCTATATAATACGTTCTCTCGTTTAATGATTTCTCATCCTCTCTCATTCTTTCTCTCACTTCATCCAATATCACCACAGGCTTCCGCGCAGAGAGAGACTGCATAAAGCAAGAGGAAATCCACAATCACTAATTGTCTGGACTGATGTATAGCTTTACAAGTGCTAAACTCGCTATTCCTGTGTGTGCCTGCATGCGAGCACTGTGCATCAGCTGGCGTGTGATGAGTGTGTAATTGAGTGTGTGGATGTGTTAGTGTTTTCAAGTATCAGGCATTTTTTTCCTGGGGTAAGCAATAAATGAGTGTGCAAGACAGACAGTTATCTTATACCCCTCGAGGACAGGGGAGAGAAAAACACAAGATCTGTTTCAACTTTGACCTCTCTCTTCCTCTCCTCCCCTTCTTTTGCTGTCATTTTTTCCAGTAGAGAAGTGATGCTGACTAGCAGAATGCTGCAGGCACCGTGCAACATCAAACATACAGTATTAGTGATAATGACACCTGTTTATTGCAAAAAAAACCCCCAAAAACTAACTGCTGCTGCTGCTGCTGCTGTGATGGGAGCTCAGTGTGTGGGAGCATGCAAAGGATGTGTACTGGAATTGTTTGTTCTCTCTCAGGTGGTGTGGTCTGAAACCTGTTCTACGAAATTATTTTCCCTACTTTCCATACAATTTCTATGTCTGTTTTTTTACATACTCAAACACACAAGATTTTACAGCAAAAAGACAGGTATCAGGGTCGTAAACACTAAACATGCACATACATGCAGGCACAGGTTCTGCACACTGACAGACACACATGCCCACAAAGGATGCCAGCATAACAGCAAGGAAACAAACCAAGTATTGTGCACTGTTTAGAGCCTCCGATACGTACTGATCTGTGCTTTCATTCTTCACCCTCTTTGTCTCCCCAAAACAAGTTTAACATGGCAATATAACTCAGGAAGATCTGAAATCCCAATGCCTTGGATGTCTCATTACAGTTCTCCCCAATAAGCCGCCTTCCTTGTCTTTCTTACTATGCATGGTTAGGGTAATGCATTCATTTCCTGTAGGGGGGATTTGTGAGTAATTATGCACAAAGACATCCTCTCACTAATTAGGATGTAAAGACAGGGAGTTCAAGTAATTTGGGCATTTCACCAAGGGCTCGGAAACACACCATCCTTAAGGCGCTCTGCACACTATATATATAGGTATGCTTGTGTGTGTGTATCTGAATGAATTTGAGAGAGTGCATACTTGCTTGTGTCTGTGTAAATATAGTTGTGCGTATTAGCACTGTTTTTATCTCTTTCATTGTAACCTTTTAATTAGAGTAATTAACTCCTTTAGTAACCAAGTGTATCTGTGAAACAAGGTGCATTTGTCAGTAATGCACAAAGGAACCGCCCAATTGCACCACAAACATGTAAAAATTGTTGATGGACTGTTGACTGAGTAATTATAAGAGGCGTGCTCGCGTGCATCAGCCTAAATGTGTCAATGGGCACATGCCATTCATCAACGTTACCAGTCATTAACTGTGGTTCAGCAGTGAGGAAGCTTCTGCTGCCATAGGAACAGAATAAAGCCGCTATGTCTCTCTCAGTCTCCCTCCCTGACGCAGCTTTAATTTGCCAAGCTCTTCTATATCCAGGAAATACAATGACTAGCCTTCGTCTTTGTTGTCTAACAGGGATTTTGACTATGCAGAGACAAGGCTGGGGAACAGGCGCGCACAGCCCAGACATGCTTTTGCAACAGTTGTTTTCTTTTCTTTGTTCTCGATTTATTCTTTGTAATCCCCTCTTTCCTCTCCTTTCCCCGCGCCTGCCTCTTTCCCCTGTCCTCTCTTTGTCAAATACACACAGTTCTCTTAATTATTTATTAATTTTCTTTCTCTTTCTCCAATCTCTTATTCTCTCTTCTCTTCTATCTCTTTCTCACTTCTTCCAAGTCTTACGAAGTCATATCAAGCGGCCTGCCAAATAATTAGATGGGACATTTGTTTGAAAACACATTTACAGAAGGGTATTATCCTCTCTCACAGACATAATGTTAATCAGACATGACAACAGAATGTTTTAGGAGTTGGCAGATAGACAAAAAGGGGAAGACAGATAGTATGGGGGACTATAGGGAGGGGGAGCATCAGCATTTGGTTTAACTATTTGTGACAGTATTTGCTGGAATCCCTCAGTGCATGGCTGATATACCATATCTGTGCTGCCTCTATCTTCCATTCCCTACCACTGACAGTTTCAATGGAGCATGACTGAATTTTGCAGGTGTAAAATAGTCTGCAGATGTTGGCAAGAAACCAACTCATTAACACAGTGAGATACAAATCTGGATGATAAAATCTATCTTGACTATTGTCAGAGAAGCCAACTTTTCTTTTGAGAAAAATATCTATAGGGCAGCATCCTGCTGTACTGTTAATCTTATTCCTCCTTTACAAAATAACCTGTCCAGATAATGTGGCATGTCTAAAGGCTTTTGCCAACCAGGATGGCCATAATCACCGATTTTCATATTTGTTTGTACACTTATCTTATGATTGACTTCCTCACTTCCTGACTGAATGAAATTTTCCTCTTTTACAGTGACATTGATTTCTTTCCTCACCATATGAATAGGAAGGCAGAGATTTTACACTGTATGTTAGAATAGTTACTGTATGTCAGACAGACAGGACGGCAACTGAGGCTTTACACTGAGCTCAAAGCGAAGTTTGTGGAGACTCAAACTCCTGTTACTATTCCCTGGCTAAAAGCAAAAGGAAAAAAAAAAAATCTGTATTGAGTATAGATTTACAGTGCATATTGACTGTACAAAATAAATATGTGTGTGGGTGTGTTTTAATACATTGTTGATTTTTGCGTATGAGAGTGTGTGAGTTTGTGCTTGGACAGACGGAGCTCTAAATCCTTCACATCACATGCCGAGGTCTCCAGTCAGATACAAAGCATATTTGTGTTTATTACTGTAGTGTAATACACTGTATTATGTTGTGCCTGTATTTGTTTTTGCATTGTTATTTTTTGCAAATATACTATATGTATCACTGTACAAATATGATAAGCAATTACCAGTCAACATTGAGTTGAATATCAGCATTATGTTTACAACTAATGAAAGATGGTTTTGTACCTGCAGTTCCATTTCAAACCAGCAGGGAGCAACCTTTTATTATGGATTTCGGACTGCTCGACTGAACTCTTCAAGCTGCTCTAAGGAGGTTATTCACAGGCTGATTCAGCAGGTTAGTACTCAATTGCAAGGCTGAACATTTTTTTCCTGGTCTGACCTGGGTTTGGCACTCATATGCTACGGGTGCATTAAAGTACAAACAAGACCTATGGTTTCTAACACGGATGACTAGTTTTAAATTCATATATCCTGTGGCAGCCAGTTTGACAGACATTCATATTGCTTATCAAGCTTTTTCAAATGAGGATCACTGTGAAGAATCTTCAATATTTAGAGATTAGCAGACTAAGTACTGTGGCATGCTTACACACTGAGATAAAAGGGCGAAATGTAGTGCGGCAGTGAAAAGTGTCGGAAACTGGAGAAAATGACTCCACTGGGAAAAGATAACACATGACACAAAAAACAAAACAAAGGAGAGGCTGGTTCAAAAACTTACTGTAGGTTGCATAACATATTGTTGATGTGGCATCCAAGATGTACTCTGGACCTGCGGAGAAGAAAGTAGTGGAGGAGAGGTGAGGAGAGAAGAGAAGATGTAGTAAAGGTACAGGTGACGACAATAAAATCGGGGGATGGGGATGAGTCCGGGGATGCAGAAGGGAGGTCAGGAAGAGATGAAAGATCAAAAAGAAGATAGTTATAAGTGGATAAAGAATTGAGGAAGAGAGAACATAAAGAAGGACAATTGGAAGACAAAATGACAGGAAGGGAGCGAAAATGAGAAAACCAAAGAGGAGAAGAGAGAAAATTAATCATTAGCTCAAGTCTTTACAAGCCTATTTCAGAGCCTCAGTCCCTGCAGCAGAGTGTCTTAAAGAATATTATGGCAGTAACTGAGGGTCCACTATACAGTATGTTATGTTGTAATTATAAGAGGATATGAAGACCACATAGAGCAATACAGTCTAATAATTACTGCTTCACAGTGGAGGTTTCATCATCAAAGCCTGTCTTGGCCACAAATCACCACTTTCATCTCCTACTGCTACCCACTACCCAACCCTAACATGAGGAGGAACAAGTCCCCGAAGGTCCCTTTGTCACATGTAAGCTCTGCCTATAGTAATTATATGAGTGCATGTTCGCTTACCTGTGTCTCTCTATGGGGAGTTGTGCAAAGTAAGTTAATTTCTTCAAGTGTTTTCCTCAAAAAGCAGGATGTTGTGTCTCTGTGTGTAATTCTGCGCTGCTGAAGGTGTGTCTTTGCATTTGTCTTTCTCATTTACAGCAGTGTTCCGTGTTAGTGAAAAGCTGTGGGGGAGTACTTGTGCTTGTTTTAAAGTCTATGTGTTTGACAAACTGGGGATCAAGTACAGCGTCAGTCTCTCAAAGAACCACAGCTATGTCGCCAAACCAGCTTTGACATGAATTGGTACAATTTGTGTGTGTGTGTGGAAGAGAGAGGATGTGACACATGGGAACGGAGGGGGGGACAAAAGGGGGATTTGTGCCTAAGAATGAAAGATTGATGGGAGGAGTGCTGCAATATAAGCCTTTGTTTTATCATTGCTAAACTAAGACTTGTCTTGAATGGAGAGAGCTGGTAACTCAATTTCTGTGGTGAAGTTATTCCTGAGAAAAGGCAGTCTCTACTTGCTTTACCCCATTGTCCAGGGACTTCACATAGGACAACAGTGCAGAAAGTGTCAGTTCTGCAAATGTTTAATTCATTCTGAAACTACAGACAAGAAGTGCTGTGGATAGGATCAGCCGAAAATATTAATTTCTTAATTCAAAAGCCCTGGTTCCAAATACTCAAGATGATGTCCATATTTGTCTTTCTACCAGCAAATCCAACAAAAAAACAACAATGGTAAATGGACTGTCCTTACGTAGCACCTTTGCAGTCTTCCAACCACTCAAAGCGCTTTATTATAGATGCCACATTCACCCCAAATTAACACACTGATGGTAGTGGTTACTATGCAATGTACCAACCGCTCATCAGAAACAGAAACTAATATATTCATAGACACTCTCAATTTGGGGTTCAGTATATTGTCCAAGGACACTCTGACATGCAGACTGGAGAAGCCAGGGATCAAACCACCGACCTTCTTATTAGTGGATGACCCGCTCTATCTCCTGAGCCACAGCCGTCACAGTCAAGACAAAACTGTTTACAAAACTGTTTACTAACCTGAGTTTGGAAATAAAGCAACATGATGAAACCATCTTTTTAGCTATAAAGTTATTAACTTAAACAATTTCTACCCTTTATTAAAGAGCCAAGTTCCCAATAGACTGTTCAAAATGCCCCTATAAATTTGTGTAGTCCATACAGGCCCTCAAAACTCAGTCTAACCCGTCAAACTTTGGAAAGCGTCCACCCACCTGATATGTGGAGACAGGAGAGGCAGCGATGAAGGGTGTGATTGATGTCTGTGCAATCATCCGATTAGTGGAGATGCTGTATGGCGAAGAGTAGAACCTATGGAAGCAAACAAGAAAAGTGGGGTAAAACTGATCCAAGAGCATGTTGACAAAAATGTTAGCAATATTAAAAAACATAACATCAGTCCAGAGGCTTCTCAGCTCTCAGGATGTAGCCACATGCAAAGGTGAAAATGCCTTTAGTACATCATTGTTTTCAACCACCCAGTACACGCCTCTGATGAAATGGATCAGACATCATCACAGCCGTCATGGAAATAATAAATGTTGCAGCTTCACGCTGTGCTTCACCATCAAAGACGTCTTAAATCAGACTTGACACTGCACTGGAGCACACATCATATTACAAAGGAGTCTGCTCCACTGCCGTGCATAATAATTAATTATTACCTTAATGTGTGAGTGGGTGAAATATTTCAAAACATCTTTATGTTCCCACCTACACATTGGCAGAGAAAGCTGCATCTGTAACATCTGTTTATACTGTTTACTTCTCGCCCTATACCTTTGTTTGTCCTTCTGATTTTGCTCCATCTCTCTCTCTCTTTTTTTTTTTCCGTTTCACCCCCTCAACCCTGCAGCGGTAGAATGCTGTGGCTCGCAGTGCTTTATTTATCATTGTGTACCTAGAGAGGACATGTTTCATCCACCAGGCCGTGTTGCTGTGCCCGATCGATCCCAAAGTGTCTGTTAACTGAATAATGGAGCAAGAGAGGGGAGAAAGAGAGAGAAAGAGAGACAGGCAGAGAGAGAGAAGCCCTCTCCTAACTATCTTTAACGCAGCCATGATTGTATAAAAAGGTACTCGGTATAAAAATGTTGCTTGATTGGAGGAGAAATCTCCACTGTTTACTTTACTACTACTGACAAATATCATGAATAACATTTGCTGTATGTACATAAATATCTGTATCAGCATCCACTCTACTCTTACAGGACAGTCAGGCTCAGCAACAAACCAAAGACTGGAACACGTGGATGGACTGGTGCTACTCTACTGTGACACCAGCACACATTTCATTTCAAGGGTGAAATCGGTTGCAGAGGTGCCCACCTGTTCTATTATAGCACTTTTTGTTTCACATTACATTTGTTTGGCCAGTGATAGCACGAGCGGTTTTGAACTCAGCTGTGAGATGCAGCCCCTCAGTCATTGCAGTTGCTTTCCAACTGCCTGCGAGAAGCTGCAGAGCGTGATTGTGCTTCACATGGACATCCAGCGTTTTTATGCTCTACTTGGTGTACTGAAGCCTTTCTGTCTAGCTACGCTGGTTACTCTAGTTTTCCACAACACAATGTGGTTTACTTCCTTGGCACCAGAAACAGAAATCTCCTGAATTATGAGCACTATATATTTTACTCTTGCCATGGTTCAGCTCTGGTTCATTTGCAGGTTGATTGTGTGTTCTATCTTAGGTGTGTTGACACTGGCTCAGCTTACTTTAATTTCCCCATAACTCCTAGAAGGGACATAAATGTTCTTTAATTTCGCTTTTGCACCTTTCAACTCTGGACTTACCTGAATGTCTCTTTGAGTTGTCGTCTTTTCCATCACGCAAAAATGATTTAATCTTTTTGTTTGAACAATAGCACTGTAAGTTTTCAACCTTTTAAACCACTTGAAATTGAAAGGTTTGAACAGATAAATAGTGGATAGCTCTAACTTGGAGTAAGTAACAAGAAAAAAAACCCTCTTCTGCTGATCATGCACCAGCATAGATCCATCTTTTTGACTGTAAAATGAATGTATGACTTGCATTAGAGATACTGTATTACTGTCACTGATGAATACAAATGAGCCAACATAGCCAGGTTATTTAATATGGTTCTCTGATTGTGTTTATTGTATTTTTCATTAGAGTGATGTGTATTGAGACAGAGAAATAACAGGTAGAGGACAGATCCAAGGTTATTGATGGAGGCTATTAGTCCTGAACAGCACGCTGTCAATAGGAACTCCAGCTTGGCATTATAAACAATACACTAAACATGTAATTGCGAACAGAACATTACTATGGGATTTAATTTAAAACCTCTCTGTGAATCCCTGGTGTGACCTAGCCGCACTGTCAGGAGTTTGCCTTGAAAAATTAGTCAATGATTTAATGCCGACCTCAGTGACTTTTCAGCGGAGAAATGTGGGGGAGCGTGATAAAATATACTGTATATGTGTATGTGCATGTGTGCGGGCAGGAAAGATAGAAGAAAGTGAGGACAGATAGAAAGACAGGGTACAAAATGTAAGAACAGAGGCAGGAAGAAAGAGAGAGAAGGATGGAGAAACAACAGACCAGATAGGAGGCAGCAGATTGAGAAATAGATCCCCAGAGAAAGTGAATTTTGTGTCTCTCTGATAAAAGACAGTACAGGCTGGATGCCAAAGCAGTCTGGCTGGTTGGACACATGTTTCCAATAACATCAGATTGGCATCAGCCCCTAAAAACCAGCTGTCCTCAAGCTTGGAGAGACTTGCAAACCTGTAATTGATTCATACCCTTCCCTTCTCCTTGGCTGACTTTATTTTTGCCTTTGCCCTCCTCTTGACCCCGCACAGCACTCACTTTTTATTCAATCCCCTTCCCTCCTGTTTTTTGCCTCTCTAATTAGCTGCATTAGCATTTCACAGTTATTTAGTGCTTCGCCGGAAGGAGCTCTGATGACCTCGGAAGAGAGGTTGGAGAGGGCTTAAGCAACGCAAGTGCACAGATGCTCACATGTGAGCACGCATATACACATGCCACACACATACACAAGGACACCAGAGATGACCAAAAGGAAAGCATCTGCTTGTAAATGGAGATTAGAGATTAAAAGAAGAAAGGGAAGAAACAAGACAAACATGTAGAAGAAGAGAGAGAGAACATTTATGAAAATGTCAGACTAGCAGAGGAGGACTGGTATAAAGGTGATAAAAAGTATATGGAGCATAACAGGAAAGAAGAGGAGGAAAAGGGAAAGACGGGATACAAAGACTAAGGAGGACTGAGCTGACAAGAAGGAGGAGAAGGAAAACACAGAGCTGGAGGGATGCGTCTCCTGGGATCCCATCACCAGCAGCATTCCTAGCAGACAGGACCGATCTCCAATTTCCCCCTGAAACAGGCAGACACTCGCCTCTCTGCCTTCAGCCTGAGAGCACTGCAGATAGCCTCGGCTGACGAAAGTCTTACAGCGGCACTGCAACACCGCCCAACTTCCCTGTCTGCAATCAAAACCTAAATGTCTGACAGCTTGTATGCATAGGTGGCATAAATAAATGCACCATCTGCATCAGTCAGAGGCGAGGATGAGGATGAGAGCACGACACAGTAAGAGAGAGAGAGAGAGAGCGAGAGAGAGAGTGTGTGTGTGTATGTGTTAATGGCCCATGTGTCCTGTATCTGTCTGAATATGTGTGCATGGAAATGGGTTTCCTCAGGCGGGTAGCTGGTGTCTCCCTTAGAGATAGGGTGAGAAGCTCGGCCATCTGTGAGGAGCTCAGAGTAGAGCCGCTGCTCCTTTGCTTCAATAGGAGCCAGTTCAGGTGGTTTGGGCATCTGGTAAGGATGCCTCTGGATGCCTCCGTAGGGAGGTGTTCCAGGCACATCCGGCTGGGAGGAGGCCCTGGGGTAGACCCAGGACTAGGTGGAGAGATTATATTGCCACACTGGCCTGGGAATGCCAGGCAGAGCTGGTTAACGTGGCTCGGGAAAGAAACGTTTGGGGCTCCCTGCTGAGCTGCTGCCCCTGCGACACAACCCCCGATAAGCGGATGAAGATGGATGGATGGATGATGGATGGATGGATGGTGTGTTGTCTGCTCATTTGCATGCAAGTGCTGATGGTTTGGTTAGTGAGAAGGTATCACTTTTGTAATGCTCATAAACAGGCGCAGAAGCCAGTACTCCAGCAATTTTGTGGGGTTTGCTTTTTTACATGGGCAGGGAATATGATTTCAAAGCAAAGTTTGCATCCAAACATCCTAAGCTGTAGACAGTTTGTAAATCTGAAAAGAATACTTTCCACCTACCCGTTCTGCATCGCGGTGGGATCATACGTCAAAGCCATACCGCTCTGGAGAAAGACAGAAGCATACACCGAAAGGTTTAAATACTTGATATGCCTGTTGAATAATTTGCATTTACTCTCTCATTAAGATGTTGATGTGTAAACGGTTGTATAAACTGATCTTAAAAACTGCATTAGCAATATAGCTTTATTGGTCAGTCAAATAAAGGTAATGAATTGAGAGGGGGAGAGACAGTACAGAGGGAAAGCAGAATGATTACTGATGTAAAATAAAACTATGAACACAAAAGCTTTGACTTACAATTCAAAAAGTGAGTGGGATACAGAGATGTGCTAAATAAAGAACAACTGATGATGTCCTCAGTAGCAAAAAAATCTCAAATGAGCCAGTTAAAAGCACTTATGTGCAATAAAATGATTCTGAATGATTGGGTGTGAGCCTGTGGACTACTTGAAACTGTACTATATAGCAAAAACACCACAAAAAGCACACTGAGTAACAACTGTTATAGCCTTGATATTTGTTACTGCATTTAAGGGATTTAACAATACAATATGTTCCTGGATCTATGCATTTATAATATTTTAAACTAAGTTTGATTGAAAACAACATACGCATTTATTATACCTTAGTTATTCAATGTGCAAAAATGTTTCATCACTGGTCATTTTCGAATAGATTTTGGTAAAAAAAACAAAAAAACAAGACATAAATAAGCTTTTTTAACAAGATATTTAGCAATATAAAAAAGCATAGAATAATAAAAAATGTATCAAAGATAATAAAACACACAAAATTTCTGAACTTGGTTGAACTCACTCCAAACGCAACAAAAACTTCTTTTCAAACCAAATGTGGTGGGTATATTTAGAGATGAAAAATATACACACAAAGTCAATTGAAAGACGCACTTGGTGGAACACACACATAAATCCACACTAGACACCATGAACTGAGGTGACAGCACATATGCTTGAATAGAAAATGTTTCAAATTGAGCGAAAATTACAAGTTATTCCCAATTGTACAGCTTTGTGAACACACAAAAGAGAGAAAAGAAGACAATCAGGAGGAAAATGAGAGAACTGGGAGTTCCTGCTAAGTTCAGTCTGTTTGAGCTGTCACACACACAGTGCTTTTTGTCACAGAAAACATCTGTACCGTCAGTCAGGAAACTGACTACTCAATCAGTCAAAACAAGCCCAAACTCAAAACACCTCTCACAGCTGGGCAGCTGTCAGACCTCTCAACTGTAAATATTAACCTAATATTGCTATCCAGTTTTCAGTTCCATCATGGATATCATCGCCATTTTGTAAATAAAAATATTAACCCATGATTCATTGTTCCAGCCCAACTATAGGAAGTCCTTCCTATAGCAATCTTCATCAGTTACAGGGCTTGGTTATTATTACACTAGCTGTATAAACGGACAGGAAAATGTTTTCCATTCCAGCTGCATTATGTCAGTATCTGAAAAAAATTAAAACTAAACATCCCCTGTCCCTCCTCCTCTCTATTAAATGTTGTCCCTATTACATCAAGTATGTATCATTAAATGACATTTTTCTGTCTGAATGCCTTCTATCGGTGTCTCACTTCCACCATCATGTGCAAATGAATGAGACTGTATCTCTCGCTGCTGAGTTTTGAAAAAGGACTTTGACTGCCTCTTGGCAATGTTGGAACACACTTAAAGCCACAATAGTGTTTTTAATCATCTAATCTTTATTTTTCTTCTTCTCCATCTTTTGCTCTATCGCTGTCCCCTCTCCCCTTTATCTGCAGCCTTCACAAGTCATTTGTACTTGCTCTATATTCCACACAAGTCTCTCTTCTCTCCAAATTGGCACATGAGTTGAAAGTGTGCCCTGATTCTGAACTCGATTTTGCAAAGTTTGGTTTTTCCCCAAACACTGTTTGTAGCCAGGACTGAGGGAAAATAAACTGCAGACGCAATAAAAAGGAGTGCCAGACACTGATGACAGCAAATAGCAAAAATTAATAATTCTGAAGCCCAGGATGATCATTTAAAGCAGGTAAAAACTACATTACACATAAAAGAATCCTAATTTTCACCTTGAGCAAAATTTGTAATCACTGCTGGTTCTCTGTTCTGATCTATTGAATTGTCTTTTTGAACAGAAGATTTCTGAGCAAGACCTAGAGGAGACCAGCTCTATGAAGAATCTTCCATCCATCCAGGAGCAGCTGGCTGTATTCCGAGCCCCTTCGAGATGCTGACGCTCTCCACCCTATCCCTAGCCCAGCCATCCTACAGAGGAAATTTCAACTGCTTGTATCCACAATCTCATTGTTTCGGTCACTACCCAAAGCTCATGACCATGGGTGAGGATTGGAAAGTAGATCGACTGGTAAATCAAAACCTTTGCCTTCCGACTCAGCTCCCTCTTCACCATAACATTCTGGTACAATGTCTGCATTACTGCTGATGCTGCAACAATCCACCTGTCCATCTCATGCAAAATGTTTGTCACTCATGAACAAGTTCCCGAAATGTTTTCCAAACTCCTTTGCTTGTGACCGCAACTCACTCCCAACCTGGAGGGAGCAATACACCTTTTTCCGTCAGAGAACCATGGCCTCAGATTTGGAAGTAATGAACCACATTCCGGTTGCTTCACACTGCTAACTGCTTCAGTGCAAAAGGAAGGTCATGGTCTGATGAAGCCATCAGAACCACGTCATCTGTGAAAAGCAGAGACGCAATTCTGAGGCTTAAACCTGAAGGCACATCTGGCACACCCCAGATGTGCCTTCAGATCCTGTCCATGAATATCACAAACAGGACCCCCCCCCCAACAGCCCCACAAGAGTAAAGAGGTATGCCACTGTTCCAAAGTCAGGATAAAATCTGCTCCTCCTGAATCTCCTGTTTGGCAATCAGTTAAATTCTCTTTTCGAGCACCCTGGAATAAACTTTCCTGGGGAGGCTGAGCAGTGTGAGACCAATAATTTGAGCACATCTTGTGGTCTCTGTTTTTAAAAATGGGAACCCTTTTACCACTGGCATCTACCAGCGGATTCTTAGGTTCTTAGGCTGGCAGGACCATGACCAAGACGTGAGCTACATGTAATAAAAAGCTGCAAGAAAGAGCTGGCATTCAGCAGTTAGGACTAGTAAGTAATATTGCTATGTCTTGTGTTTGCTTGCACTTGCTTGATGGTTGGCTGTGTTAGCAAAGTATAAGTATATAAGCAAAGAATACAGTTTATTAATTTTACACTGGTATCGGATTGATTCTTGGCATTGGCCGATACCCAACGCCCAGGAATCGGTATCTCAATCAGGACTGAAAAAGTCGGATCAGTATATTCCTATAACCTTGTGATCAAACATGTTTTTGTTAAGGCCAATCCATGACTAGCACAGAAGTCCAATAACAAAACACTACGGATGTCCCTGACTAAGAGTATCATTCGTTGAATCATGTGAGACGGTAGGGCAGCTGGTGCTGTCTCTCTTTCTATTCTACCACACACATAAACAAAAAGAGGGTTGATGAGGGAAAATAACAAACCAAGTTAAATAAAAGAGGTCCTCAAAAGGAGGACTGTGCCTGACTATATATTTAAACGCACAACAGCACCCACTTCACCTAATGAATCTAACATAATAATACTAAGTGTGGTTATCAGTGTGGACTCTTGCCCTATTTCCACCCTTTTGCCAGCCACACGCTGCTAAAAGCACACAAAAACCAAATACTATATAAAATATAAAATATAATAATATAAGTACTGTGAGTCTAACTAATAAACATAACCACAAACTGGCTACGACAGACTCAAGAGATTTACCTCACTAAACACAACTGCAGAAGCTAACTAACAAAGTACTTACTTCACTAAATTGCACACAATCAACACACATGAGGTACACAAGTCAACTGGTTGTGAGGAGCTGCCGAGAGCAACTGGTGGGTTCTCCTTAAGAGCAGGAGGTAATGTTGAGGTGGTGACGAGCCATTGGTTGAGCTGGAACAGAGGGGACCAATGGGTGGGACTGAAGTCAGCCTGACAGAGCACCACAGAAATCAGGAAGTAGGCGGGTCTTCATTCCACAGGTAGACCTTTCTTCCACAGGGTCACACAGCCTACTTGGTATACGTGAGACAGAATGTGGAAATACAGGGATAACAGCGACAGCCCTATGCTCACACATGCACACTTACCCCGCCTCCTTAAGGGTTAGGATTACAATTTTGGATTTATTCACGCACACACACAAGATTTATTAAAAGCTTCTTTATTTTCACATTTTTATTTACAGCATTATATGTTGATATTTATATCATAATAGTCTGTATATTAAATTAATGTGAGAAAACATGTAGTTCTATGTAAAATTAGACATTGAGCACCCCCATATAGCCAAAATGGCATGATCCTCATAATGGTTCTGCGAAGATTCGACTATAAGATTAGTAGTTAGCCTAGCCCGGAAATCTTTCAAGTTTTCACCCCCCCCTCCACCGCCTACCTGAAGTACATCTATAAAGCAACAGTAAATGACCTCTACACAGTAACTCTATCAACTGTCTCATTTTCTGTTGCTGCCTTGTTATGCCATTTGTTAAACGGAACCTTATACCTACTTTACCTATAAATCATTGAGCTACATCTTAATTATTAAATTTCATAGACTATAAATACATCCATCCATCCATCCATCATAAACCGGCCCCCGCAGGGTCGCGTGGGGGCTGGAGCCAATCTCAGCTGTCGGGCAAAAGGCGAGGTACACCCTGCACAGGTCGCCAGTCCTATAAATACATTTATTATGATTTTACAATTACTACTCATAATAATTTCCAACACCTAATTTCCTGCTTTCTGGTGATTTTTTCTGCACCAATTTATTGAGGAAATGTCTTTATTTATATAAAAGAAAACACAAAATTCGGGTGGCAGTTCAAAAAAAAAAAAGATAATGCAGTAAAGCTCTCATGCATTTTGTATTGCTGTCAGATATGTTTCTCATTACCCTGCGTTATTGCTCTGCTGATATGGTAGTAGGCTACCCCCTTTAGACTGTCGGACAGACACAAAGCCTGTCTGGGACTGTACTCGATGAGACAAGTGCTCTGATCTTCATCAGAGGAAGAAAACCGAAGTTGAAAACACTTGTGATCAGGCAGAAATATCACCACAAATCCACACAAATGTAAACTTCACCACCTCTGACAAAGTGCAGCTCACAGCCGCTTCAGAGGGAATTAAGCATCCTGGAGAAGAGAGACAGTCAAAGAGTAGTGTCTCTGAGCGAGGAGGACAGAGACAGCAGGACACATAGCGTCAGGGGTCTGTGTCGCGGTCAGGTGTGTGTGTGTCATGATATTCTCTCACTACGGCGACTGTTAACCGTTTGTGTTGCAAATACATTGACTAGAAACTGGCCGACAACCTTTATATTTAAATGTTTTGATTACAGTTTTGCTAGGGACAATTCAGTAGTCGCAGATAAGCCCTGAAGCTGAGAGCAATGCGCTCTCTCTCTCTCTCTCCTCTAGTGCTCACTCTAAATGCAGGCATGCTGAGTAACGGTGGGGGTGGGGGTCACATTAGTGAACTTCAAACAAAATTTAACAATATTATTGCGATTAGCCTCTGTTCTTTGAAGACCTGCGAGACAGGCTGTGTTATGAAGATTATTGCTATTAATATAGAAAATATTTTTGATGTTGTTGTGGAGTTATATTCAGGTCTACAGTCAAAACACAAAATACAAAATTCAGGAGACAATTCATGTAATATAATGCAGTAAAAATGACCTGGTGACGCCGATGGTCACCCCTACAAAACAACACTCTGGTTTACATCAGGCAGGCCAGTCCCCCTAATCCAGTTTTCTCAATAATTGCTCATGTGAGCATTTAAGTGTCCCAGCGGAACTACAGAGTCTTTAGACGGAATCCCTACTAGGACCCCACCCAGAGACTCCCAAGAAGGCCGGGTACTCTGAGCTGCTGTTCGGTGCATAAGCACACACAACAGTCAGACTCACAGTTGCATAGAGGTGACCCTCTTATTCTCTAGGGAGAATAATAATATTGTCCCTAGAACCAGTCTGCGGCTCCTTTTCAGCCGACTCATCTAGGGTCTGTGAATCGTTCTTAGTCTGGCCCCTCCCCTGGGACCAACTTGCCTTGGGAGACCCTACCAGGGGTACTGCTCCAGACAACACAGCTCCGAGGATCACAGGGACAAAAATCCCTCCACCACATTAAGGTGGAGCAGTGGCGGTTCTAGACCAATTTTATTGATGGGGCCAGGCTGGGGCCAGTTGTTTTGTCAGAGGGGCGCATTCAATCCGTGACAAAAGAGACAAAGACAATGTTCAAGCTTTCAAAATGTCTTGTTTAGTATATAATGTAATGTTTTAGTATGTTTCAGCAACCTACAGTTATTTGTTTCAGTAACAGGATCTTTTCAGTAACTTAGTTATACTTTTATTAAATTACATTATTAAAAGAAAATCTTCCTGTTAACTTTAGCTCAAGTTACAGTACATTCTTTGATGCAACACATCTTTGTATAAGCTCTAGTGTACTAGATACTAGATACATACTGTGGATCCCAGTTTGTATTTTGTATCTCACTATAACTTTTGCTAGGAAATAACAAACGCCTCCATATTCACCCCTGGTATTAGTCATGATGTGAAACATACCAAAAACAAAATGGTAGGCCGTCATGTGTGCATTATAGACGCGAATACATATTTAGGAGCCTGGTAGGAGCAGTAGGCTACTTTTATCGCTTTTTGTGTATGAAAAGTGTTGTTTAAATTCAATGCAGTATTAAATTGTTATGATAATAATTTACCCTTTAAGGAGGGGGACTGACCAAAGGCTATCCATGCAATGGAAACATGGATTACAAGGACAAAATATTGTCTACAATACTGCATTCAGTTTAATGTGCATTTTGAGTAAAGTAGATGTAACGTTGAGGCGAGCAATGTGTATTACATTGTCAGGCTATCGCGAAATAAATGTTTGCTTTATGAGGGAAACTGAAACTGCTTGTTTTGTTTAGACATTCTCAATTCAGTGCAATGAATAATACAAAGTTCAATAACACGTAACACGTTAACTGTTGCATAATGGCAGCATTAGTGCACGAATATGTATGTTTAGAGATGTGTCACATGTCTTGCCACTCATCTATCTCTCTGTGTGTGCATTCACAATGTCTCCTCATTAATGATGGGTAAATGTTTAAATGGACTTACTGAGAACCAAAACAGTCCAGGTGCGTCTGGAACCAGAGCATCTGCTTTAAGGGACTTTGTGGTCACATAAAAATGACCACAAAGAGACAAAAACAACTACAAAGAGACAAAATACCACCACAAAGAGATGCAAAATCACCACATATAGACACAACATGTTTGTAGTCAAAAAAGACACAAAACGATAACAAAGAGACAGGACATGTGGATTGTAGTCGTTTTGTATCTGGGTGTCTTGTCCCTATGTAGGCTCCTATGCCTTTTGCATGTCTGTGCAGATGGTATATGTGTGAGTGATTTTGTGTGTAATACGTGCTCATGTCATAGTCCCGAGTCCAGACTCATTTAGGAGTGAGGGGTTCTGGAGATTAGGGTCGGCTGACTGAGTGTGAGGATGCGGTGAGGCCCCTCAGAGCACCTCCAAGGCCAGATGTCTCTATTAGTCTGCCTGGACTCAGAGACCTGGCTCAGACAAATGTATAAACCTCTGAAGAGATGCTTTTCCTCAGCAAGGCCAAGTGGGGCTTGTCAGGACTTGGGCCACTGACAAATGTGTGAGGAATCCCACTGAAGCACCGATCATTTATTTTAAGTCCAGCTGACAATTCACAAATGTTGACCACAGGATACAAAAAAAGAAACACTGACACCGGGGCCTCTAATGTTAACTAAGCCCTGATGTGATGTGTCCCTCTTTGCTCTAACAAATAAAAAATAAACCAATCTGTGCCTGCTACACACAGACACACATAAAGGTCATGCACATACTGTGGCATCCTGTTTTTGTTGTGGCGGCTCTTGTTTTTAGCACACAGTTGTTTCAACCTGGTTCCATTTCATTTCACTTCACCACCCTGCTCTTTCCCAGCCTCTATGTAAAGCAAATGTTGGGAAACTGTTAAAAACTGAACTCGGTGTGTGGGTGGCGACATCATTATTCACTTCCCCTTGTTCTGTAAATTAAAGCTTTGGTATCGACACTAACAACTTCTGAACTCTCTGCATTGTGCAACAGTCAGTCTGCATTCAATCTGCTGCACAAGGTTTCATTTCTTCGGAAGATGACAGACCAGAGGTGGAAGTTTCAACAAAAGAAAAAACAAGCCAAAACCTTGTTTTTTAAATTCAACAACCTTTATATGCCGGCTTTCATACTGTCAGCAGCATATCTAATTCAGCCTACAGTATGTTATTGGAAATGAAAGCTGATAATGACCCTGTAGGGGGGCCTGTCAAGCCATTGAAACCTGGTTATAAATGTGAAAAAGAAACTGATGTCAAAGGGAACATCAGCTAGATATTTATAGTTTATGAAAATTATGACTTTTTACACATACTGTATTGTTTCCTGTGAAGCAGCTGTGGAGGCTGAGCTGTGAAATGCTACACTAAAATCTGAAGTACTGCATGCAACAGTTTTTCACTCTCACTACCCTGACTATTATGATAAGATTACAGTTATGCTTTGTCAGAAAGCTGAGGAGAAAAAGGTTTAAAAGAGGTTTACGGATATACTGTATTCATACCTGTTAGAATAACACCACTTTCTGTTTTGTTAGCTTTACTATTTCCTCTTCTAAACCCTCTCAGTACACACTATACTCACTCTGACTGTGAGAAGTGAAAGACTACTGTAGAATTAGGAAACATCTGCTGTGGCATAATTCTGCCTGAGGAAAAATTTCTAAACAAATTCTTGGATGCTTTCTTTTATAGTGGCAGAGGGTAAAAAGGATTGTGTTGTAACAAAGTGATTGAAAGACATGGTTCTTGTGTTACAATTTGCCTTTTCCACTTGTGTTTTAAGAAAAAGCTGCTGTGGCTGCTAAAGTGGATCTTTTACGATGGGTACTGATGAGCTTTTTTGACGATTAAAAGCACTTTTAAGCCTCACCTCTCCTTCCCGCGTCCACGGTCGGCCATTCTGGGGATACTTGACCTGGGTCTGCCTCTTCTTCTGGCCTCCGTCAGCAAACTTGCACAGCAGCGGCTCTGCAGGGGCTACAGTGTGAGTCAGACAAAGAGGAAGACAAGGACAAACAAAGATAGATTAATCATCTTAATAGTGGGGCAAAAGTATAATTTCATGCATTAGGTAGGTAAGATTTTAAGATAGGGCATTATGAACATGCATAAACATAACATAAATCAGTTGGACCTAAAAACAGCACTTCAGCACTTACATTTATCTCTTCCACCCCTAATCCAAATATCTAAACAAGAGCAGTTATCACACCATCTCTGCAACCCCTACAACCATTCTATGACAAAAGCAGCCTTGACGTGGAAACAAAGCCACAGGCTAATCATCAAAGCATTGATAGCGTGGTTCAAACGACAAACCAAACATGCATACTTAATACGCCAAATAACTCCACACAGCTTGACCCCAGGCAATAGAGTGCGATTGCGATTGCTCCAAAGACAACACGGTTCATTTCTGGACCACAGAAAGAATAAAGTGTTGATTACAAACAGGATTAAGCTCTAACTTCAACCTGATAATCCTAACATGAACCAGGGTACTCAGCCAAGACATTTGATGGCTTATGTAGTCAGACAGCCGACAGATAGTCCTGTGTTTTATGTCTTCTCTGTCGTTAGGGTATATTTCTTGGATTTCCAGTGGTTCAGTTTCCTTCCTAAGAAAGAACCACAAATTAGTTACATAACATTCATAAGAAAAATATGTCTGACTAGTAACTGCAGAAGATGCATAGCAACAAATGAAGCATAGCAAATAATCATAATAGTATGTTAAAATAAAAAGGCATTTAAATGCCATTAAGATACTGAAATGATAAAGCCCTAAACTATAATGGCAGCAGTGGAACACTCACACCAACTAGTGTTCTGTTCATGTCTTGATTCAGTTTTAGAAAGACATATCTTGACCCTGAAACTGAAAAAGCCACCTACTTTTATGCATTGCCTCTCACTTGTTATTTAAATGCATCCACCAAGGCATGTTTGAGTCATTGACTGCATCTTAAAAGAGGCTATTAGCTGGCACTCTTGTCTTATTTAACTGGCTATGATTTCAACTGCAGAGAAAGTCAAATCCTCAGTCCTCCAAGTTCTTAGCAGGCATAGGATGCTATGAACTCGCAGAGGCGATATCATCATGCTGGTACTGATTCACACATGCCAAAATAAACTACACAATTACCTCGCCTCCTTCAAGAAATATGTTTCTTCATCTCAGTAAACTGAAAAATGAGAGGAGGTGTTCTCAGCAAAGAAAAGCATTCAGAGCTCAAGGTTGAGACAAGAGTTATTTGGAATGCCTGGGGCCTGGATGGGTACTCCAAAGGTAAGTAGACAGAGAAATACAGAGCCGTTTGATTATAGAGCCTTTAGGAGTACTTTGTCATTATACTGTTTTAGGTTGATTTCTATCTGTATGACAGGGCACACATCTGGGCCTCTGTTATCATCCCTTGTATTCATCCTTCTAAATCACTCCCCGTCTCTCTGTGCCTCTCTCTCTTTTACCAGCTCTGCATACATACAATACATTTGGTAAACAGTCCAGTGTGTATGATGTGTGTATGTATCGCGATGTCTCACCACAAAACTCAGTGTAGTTTTCTCTTGAAAAACAAGAACTAGGCCCAGAAAGGCAAACAAAAAATGGCCAAGATTTACAGCACGGGTGATTGATGTTTTTATGTTTACACAGCAAAATCAGAGAGGACACAGTGTGATGAAAGGATCATTGGTCACTTTAGCTGAGGGACATTATTAAAGTGGGTAGCACTAAAGCTATTAAAAAATATGTTGAGACTGTCTGTTTCTCTGCATTTTCAACTCACTTACTCTGGGCCTTCATTCCTAAGGCGGCCCTGTTTGAGATGCAGAACTGTGCTAACTAATGTACTGTACTAACTAATATAACTATGAAGCCACAGGACCAAAATTAAGTTACTAAAATTCCCTTGTATGCATACTTGCTTGTGTTTCGATTGCATCAAAGTAACCTTGAAGATTAGGCAAATTAGTCCAATACTACATTAAAAACCAAAGTGCTTTTTGACATAATTTTTCACACAAAGGCATTGTGTTGTTTTTTGTTGCCCAGTGCTGATATTTGAATGGATGCAATGGATGCAAAAGAGAAATGCAGAGGTAGGACAGAGGAATGACAACTCCAGAGCACCTGTTTCCAAAGTATCGACAATCTGCATGCACGTAACAGTACTGAAACTATTTTTATGTTTTGTTTTTATGTTCACTTTGCCCCAATCCTTCCTCGGCTATGTGAAAGTATTATCCCCAGAGTTGGCACCAGGAAAGAATGTATTGTTGCCCTCACAAGTTAGAAGTTCTTTGATGTGTGTATTTGCATGTAAAATGACTGCTACTTCATAAGTACAAGAAAATATGTGACGTGTGGACAAGCACACACACTTGATACAGTTTTAAAGGCAGCATCTGTGTTCTGTTGCTGTTCTAGTTTTATTGGTATGACTGACAGAGAAAGCCGCATTGTCGACGGCTGACAACTTGTCAAGTCTATAGTCAGGACACTTTCCTCTCTGCGTCTTCTCTAAAGTACCCCACAAAGAGAGAAGAAGCTCCTGCCGATCTAAAACAATTGTTTGTCCTCGGTATTTGCTTTAAAAGGGTACCGCTGTGTTTTGAATTGAATCTGTTATTTTTATGCACCAGGCTTATCACAAAGATGGCGAAAAGTTTGTATTTTTGGACTTAAGTGAGATGACAAAATTGGGCCATTTATTGTTAGAATTAGTGATGCAAAAATGCGAAGCAGCTGATCCCAAGAGAGAAAGAATGAAAGTAAAGTAGAAACGTATCTTTCCATAATGTGACAGATGCCTGCAAAAGGGTGGCAGACACAATTTAAAAATCTCAGTGTACTTTTCCTTCATTCAATTCCTTGATGTACCTCATATTAATATCCAGCAATGTCCACAGACCCATAGACATGTTGAAGGACATGTCTGTGTAATGACCTGTGCTCGTTAAAAGTGTCATATTCCAACAACAACAACAGGAAGGACATTGTCCTTATTCCATTTTGTATGCTATAGTAGCCCACATCCACGTACACAAAAATTGACATACACAACATCGTAGTTGTCAGCTGTTTTTCAGAGCTGGTAATATGGCTCCAGCACTATGGACCAGTGTTTACATGCACAAACACACACTCACACACACATGCATCAAGATTGTAATAATATTTTGTTGCCTTGGTGCATGTGGAGTTTGAATTTAGTGTTTTTCAGAGACTCCTGCCAGAGGCCAATATTTGGTTGGGCAGAGAATTTGGACAGTCCCATAAATGGAGAAGGTTCTGTTAGTTTTTTCAACAGATGATTCAAATTATTGTACACTGCCGCCACATTCTTGGATACCTGGAGTTTAATCCTGTAATTATTTAAATCTGACGTGTCAGATTATACTGTCATGGCATTTCACAATACCGCCAAAAGTAACACAATATAAAGAAGAAATAGAAAGAAGATTAAGAAAGTTTGAGCCGTAGCTTGAAACAGCAAACTAATTGAAATGAAAGAGTAATTTAAAAATGTAGGTTTGACACAAAATAATGTTGATAATGATCCTGCACATGTAGCGTGTATGGCTATGTGGACAATCATTCATGTTTGGGTGAGGGAAAACAAAGTCAGCACAACTGACTGGCTTATTAGAAAGGTACTTTTTTTGGTGTTTCTATCATTGATTTTCACCTTCAGAGGAAGAGGAGATATGTCATTTCTGGCTTAATTAGTCAATATTGCAAAATTTGTCTTACAAGCCAGGACTTCAATAGGGTACAAATGATAAAAGGATTGCTACTGGCTACTAATTAATTAGTATTGGCTAAGGTGCAAAAAGTTTAAAGGATACACTGATCAAACAAACAAAATCAGCCAACTGAGGAAGGCATTTTGTCTATTAAGTAATTTCATTAACAATTAATCTGTTCAACAGAGCCATTATTCTTGGTATTTGTCTCAGAGATCATCTGTATTTTACCGCTACAGAGCAAATGTAGGGTGTGGCATTTAAAATGATGCAAAATTACTTTCACTTACAGCTGCTACAAGTTCCCTTAATGTGTAGTACTACAGTACAAGAGCAATATCATAACAGCCATATAAATCTAAAATATCTAAAACCCTTTTATTCATGTCATATTCCAGCTATAATGTAAAAACAGACTAAGTGTAATGTCACTTTTAGCTTTAGGTGATGCCTGTGGTGGCAGAATTGTGATATTGTGCATTTCTCTGTGGGAGAAAAGTTAAAAAACCTGCAATTAACAGCACACTGACAAGTCATAAATACTGATGATGGTATTGAAAATAATGAATGTTATTTATTCATAAGAGGGAAACTTAGTCGCCACACAATCAGGAGGCAGCAACAACTGCAAAGCATCCAGACGAGAGTACCTGCTCAAACTGGTGCATCAAATTAATTATTCAGCTTGCTTTCACAGTTACATTTCTCAATCTGTTGTATTTCCCAAGAGGAAAGAAGGACATTTTTAATTGTCGGTTTGACCCCTACGTCTCTCGCTCTTGCGGCTCAGCAACAAAAGTGATGAATTTGGGTACAGCTGTGTCTGCCCCCTAAAATGGGTCACTTTGGGTATGTCAAGTAAATTAACATAGTCTGAACCAAATATTTGGATATCTAAAGAGTTCAGATGTGTAACGTTTTAGTAAACAGGACATGGAGTTGAAGAAATGAAATTCATTTCGAATCTAAGGAGCAAAAATGATTGCTAAAGTCACACATAAATCAATCTTTGTAGCCCCAAGCACAACAATATACCCCTTCTTCCTCCAGGCTGTGTTTTTCTCCTCAGAGTCCTGACAGGTAGGCAGTGGGGGCTCATACTTTGTGAAAATCCCAACATTATCGCTTAGTTTGCAGAGGAAACTACTGCACTGTGCAGACAACTGCTCGGGTCTCATTGAAAATTAATCGAGGCTTGGCTGCTTAGTGGATCACATTTGGTGGAG